AGAGCTGTGGGAACAACCCAAAGCTAGCTGTGGCTTTTTAAAGGGTAAGCATGTCCATAATTCTAAGAAGAGGAAACATGCCTAATCCAGAACAGGAGGAAAAACACACTGAAAAAGGACATAGGGCCCCCTGCTCCATTATATTAAGTGATCCTTTAAGAACATAAATGCCAACCAGTGCAAACACTAGGTGGCTGATGACAAAAAGAAGACAGTGTCTGACAACTATGAAGCCAAGGCACACTCTTTAAAACAAACACCTGATAGGTCACCATCATTAAAAAAAGCCTTAACTATACACAATACACTTACCGGGACAATGCTCTATTATGTAAGACATGACTGATGGCAGGGAACAACAAAGTGAGAGAACATCATTTAAAGTTTTGAAAAGTTTGCGTTTGTTATCAGCCCAATCAGCACTAGGTGCACTAGGTAGTACAATTTGAAAGTTGGAGAAGCGAAACAATTGTCTACTATATTTTCTAAACTAAATACACAAACTTTATTCAAAGGAACAAATGGGTCCCTGGAACACTGTTTGGAGCTAAAAAGCTACCAGGAGAGTTACGCTTTCACTGTTGAGGGCCCCCCAACATAACTTCTCGCGTAGCATTTTATCGTCAAACAATGTTCCTAGGACCAAATTTTCCTCTGAGGACCGTCTGTGTATACAATTATGAACATGTACAATAAGGTCTGTAAATTTATCTACCAAAACTCCATAGTGTTCCTTTAAATGACAACACATTCATAGACGTGAAATTTCTTCATGGTAAGTGATATTGATAAAAAAAAAAGTTGCCCATTTTGATTAGGTTACATTTAAGAAACATGTCTGACCTTTTTTTTCCAATTAAAATATAAGTGAAGTTGTTACAGTGACTATGTTGGCTTGATAGGGTGTAAAATATTCACTTTTATTTACGGATCTACAAGGTATTGTTGCTACTATTCACCAGCTATGTCTAAACCTAAAGTTCTTTAAAGGTATAAAATGCGACTTTGAGAGTAGATGTCCAGTAGATGTCGCACTTTAGCACCGGTCTCTCAAACCAAAGCTGTCCCTTCAGCACACCACCTCCTCTCCTGCCCCACTACTCACTCGTGTTGGGACCAAGTGCAGCCATCTCTACGACTGATCTTGACAGATTCAAATATGCAGCCCCAAGTTGATTTGGTTCTTATTTGTTTTAAGTATTTTACACCAAAAAATGTCTTATCTTCGGTTTGGAAAGTCTGTTGGTTCTCCTTGAATTGTACTCTTGCAATGAAACTTCACCATAATACCTCTACGTACTCTCATCCCTCATGAGGTGACTGGGCTAACGGTGGGACAGAGAGGGGTGTACATGAATGGAGCCACATAAAAGGGTGCTTTCAGATTAAACATTATAGTGTGAAAGTCTGAAGACACACTCTTGCAACTTTCCACAAATTGCACAGTTGTCAGTAAATGCATAATAGGATGATCACAACATAGTTTTGAATAATACCGGAGCACCTTTAAGTGAAAAAATAAAATAAAGTGTAATTTTTGGGCATTTCAGTCTATTCGATAGGGCAGCTTTAGAGACAGGATATGTGGAGAGAGAGAGGGAGATGACAAGAATCAAACTGCATCAACATCAACACTCATACCTGCGACAAGTGGGATGAGGACAGTGGCCTCTGTTCATGGGGTGCCCACTATACCAACTGAGCACCCCATATGGCAGGTGATACTAGAAAATGTGTACACTATGAAATCACAAACCCTGTATAATTCACATTTCTTCTGTAAAGTCAAATAGTGACACGTACAAAAAAAACACACATTGATAAAGACACACTGACGAGACATTTTTTTTGTGAGTTTGGACAGTACTGCAAATTGGAGCAGACAGTAACAGACTAGTCCAAATGAATGTACAGCATATGGCCTATCTCTGTGGGACATTCAGCCCTTAACCACAACTCCCACAATAATATTTGGTTTCCCCCTAGACCTTCTATACACACACCCACACACCCACAAATTCTGATGACCTCACCATTCTCTATGAAGGAAAATAAAGAAAAATACAAGGAAAAGCTGAAAAGATTATATTTTTGGCAAGCTAGTGAAGAAGACTCTCAAAGTATATCTCTATTTTCAAGAGGGTGTGCAACAGTGGTGACACAGATCATCCTTGGACACAGCTCCATGTAAATTACTGTTTCCCTCCCTCAAAGCCTAAACCTGACAAAACACAGAGTCACAGCGGTCAAGATGGCTGAATAAGATAAACATTACATCTTCCCTTCAGCACAAGGGACTCATCATGGAAACACTGATTCAGAATGTCAAAGGCATGACAGTCACTATTTTACAGGGTGCTTGCTGCAAATAAGTGTACTCAGTAAAAAGGGTCGTGTAAATATTCTGAAGTGGGACTTGCAGTAAAATAACCTTTCATAGTTCTATTTTATAGCACAACAGAATCAACAGGCAATGAACATGTTCTTTTTACCTCTGTATCTAAATGTTATTAGAACAAATAAGCCTGCAGAAAAAAATGATCTGTCTGATGATGACACTGTACTGTAATAACAGTTTAAAAAGTTGATACAGTGGAAAAAATTATGATTTGATCCCCTACTGATTTTGTAAGTTTGACCAATTACAAAGAAGTGAGCGGTCTATAAGTTTTATGGTACCTTTACTATAAGAAACAGAGAGAATATCAAAAAAAGTCCAGAAAAAAACCTTGTATAAAGTTATAAATTCATTTGCATTTGATTGAAGGAAGTAAGTATTTGATCCCCTAAAACCAACATGAATTCTGGCTCCCACAGACCGGTTATGTGCCCGGGAGGCACTCAGATTAGTCCTGTCAATTTAAGAAAGTACTCCCAATCACTGCTCGTTATGGGTAAAAAAGACACATGTCAACAGAATCAATCTCTTCCTTTCCAACCACTCCACCACCATGGGTAAGACCAAAGAACTTTCAAAGGACATCAGGGACAAATTGTAGACCTGCACAAGGCTGGACTGGGCTACAAGACCATCAGCAAGAAGCTCGGTGAGAAGGAGACAACTGTTGGTGCAATTATAAGAAAATGGAAGAAATATAAATGACCATCAATCGCCCTCTGTCTGGAGCTCCTTGCAAGATCTCGGTGAGTGATCAGCCCAGAACTACACAGGAGGAGCTTTTGAATGATCTCAAGGCAGCTAGGACCACAGTCACCAAGAAAACCATTGGTAACACACCACCATCCCCACCGTCAAGCATGGAGGAGGAAACATTATGCTTTGGGGCTGTTTCTCTTACAAGCGTACAGGACGACTTCACCACATTGAGGGGACGATGGATGGGGCCATGTACCGTAAGATCTTGGACAAGAACTCCTTTCCTCAGCCAAAGCACTGAGGATGGGTCGTGGATGGGTCTACCAGCATGACAATAACCCAAACATACGCCAAGGCAGCAAAGGAGTGGCTGAAGAAGAAGCACATTAAAGTCATGGAGTGGCCTAGCCAGTCTCCAGACCTTAATCCTATAAAAAAAATTGTGGGGGAGCTGAAAGTTCAAGTTGCAAAGCGACAGCCTCGAAACCTTCAGGATTTGAAGAGGATCTGTAAAGAGGAGTGGACTAAAATCCCTCCTGAGATGTGTACAAACCTGGTGACCAACTACAACAATCGTCTGACTTCTGTGCTTGCCAACAAGGGTCACTCCACCAAGTACAAAGTCATGTTTTGCATGGGGATCAAATACTTATTTCCTTCGATCAAATGCAAATAAATGTATAACTTTATGTAATTTTTTTTTTTTAAATATATTCTGTCTCTGTTTGTTATAATAAAAGTACCATAAAAATTATAGACCTCTCACTTATTTGAAATTGGGCAAACTTACAAAATCAGCAGGGGATCAAATAATTATTTCCTCCACTGTAGCTGAGAGTGACCCACAAACTGACTGGGTTGATAGTATGAAACTGTCTCGAAACTGGTTGTTCAATGGTAGAAAATAAACATTGTCTTTATGTCATCATAAGGACAAGAGGAGTCAAAATCAAACTCTGATGCCACCTAGTGGTGTCTGACTGTTTTACCTTTTCTTATGTATCAAGAAAAGGTAAAAATGGGAGGTAAAAAATCAGTCAATCAAAAAATCTAAATGTGAGCCATACAATGATTCCAAATAAATGTTCAACTGTCACTTGGTCAAATAATTAAGTCAATTTTAAAGGTAGTTTTTGAATAAAGAAAATACTAGACCCTGGTCACCTCATCACTGGTCTGGTTTTTCTGATTTGTTTATCTGAACATTTCAGGAACTCCATTGTCCTCTTCCTTTATCCCAGGGACATGTTCCCTTTCTTCTAAGCCTTTCACATATATCCATGCCTTATACAATCCTGTCTCACGCCCTCTGTCCGCTCCTCAGGCTACACAAGACCACCTGTGGTCCATTGTCGAGGTCAAAAGTTTAGGTGAAAACCAATCCTCCCACGGGAAGCTGTCAGAAAATTGCATGGAGCTATTTGGAGACTACTCGATAATGAGGAGGCATGGCTGGAATTCTGGAGCCATGTTGTCTTTCATCATGAGCACACTCACCATAAACTCTCCACATACACACACGTCTCAACAGCCATACTAGGTGCATACAGCTGTAACTCCACCAGATAATAGTTGTTAGAATCAAGTGGTGTTTGTGTGCTATTGGACAATATGGATTTTTTTTTAATATATAAAAGTATATTGATGTTGAAAAAGCAGATTGCTCTTAATATGTTTAGTTAATGTTACTTAATTCATGAAAATGCACTCATTCTGACAACAAAAAGTATTTCAATCACGTTATGTAAATGTTGCTAAACAACATATGGCACCAAGGCATTCAGTGTTCTTAGATGACCATTTTGGCCCAGTGTTTATAAATAAACCTAAACAGATTTCAGGTAGTCATGGTCACACATAGCACACTGACTGCGGGAGAGGCTGGGTCAACCGTCTTAAACCCTCCCTCCTCTCTCAGTTGGGCTGCAAACACTGCTCCCGCTCACACTTTGCCGCTTACTCTGTTTTATCTTTGAATGGCAACTCAATTCAAACGGATTCATCCAGAGAATGGAGGTTAAAGGGCACAGAAGTAAGTACAATTATATTTTATCAGGATTATACTTTTCTCTGGGCTCATTATCTTTCAAATATTGATTATGCAGATAACACAACACCTATCACTCTAAACTTTAAAGAGTGGATTTTCATGTTTTTCATTTAAGATGATGATAATGAAAAGCAAATATATGCCAGTACTACCTTTGTGTGTTGGAAGTCTAAAGGAATGTGAATTGTGTCCACTCCTGCCCTGCAGTAAGACAGCTGCCATGTCTTCCCCAGAGCTTTTGTTAGCCTTGCATAGGATAGCAGAACAAAATAAAATATAACAGAGCCATAAACTACGGCGATGTTGATGCTGTTGTTTTAATTGCACTTTATTTGAATCAACTGACCTACTTTTAGAGGAAAGGTTTTGGCAAAGAAATAGCAGTTACCAATATAATGTTACACTTACATTCGTGCCCTTTCTACACTACTATTCTTTAGCAATGACAGTATTGGGTCAACTTGATAAATTTACTCTCTGGGACTCGATGCCCAGTCCATCTCAACGAGGGGAATTACAGCTAAGATACTAACCAGGGAATAGTCACAATGCTCATTTATCTGCATGATGACATGTTATGATAATTTGTTGGCTAATGTTAACAGTTAAATGCCACTTGTTGGATCTAAGGGGTAGAACTGTTTGCATGTGTTTATATTAGTAGTGCTGTGGTGTTCATGTACATACATGAGTAGGCTTGTTTTAAGTGTGTGTGTCTGAGCATTGCCAAGCACTCAGTTGGTCACTGTGGCATCTAGCCCAGCAGGACAGCTGCTGGTAGCATACCCTCTGCTAAACTGTCCCCATGCCCAGCTCTGCATTCTTGCATGTCTGGCATTAAGTAGGAATTCAATACCTCTGCGGACATGTTATCAATGCAGGCCAAGCCCTTCATTTGTTTAGCGTACCTACAACGACAATATTGCTAACAACTTCAACTATCATGCTTACAATGCATCAGCTACTCAGTAGAACACTTTCATCTTCTTGTTCAAAGGATGACATAGCTGAAAAGAAGACTTCTAAATCTTGAGTGACCACAGTTATCACACCAGTAAAACCAATGGAGGACCTCAACGATAACATTTCGTTGACTGGGTTCGACCCTCTCTTTATTGAAGAGGAGGATGCGGATCCAGACAAAACCCTCACGGAACAAAGAGAGTGCAACAGTGAACAAGCTGGCTTCACCTTATCAGGAACACAACTGAATCAATCATCTTTGATCAAGCCGTACCTACAAGAGATGGATGACCTACTGAAAAGTTGTGAAGAGCTCACTGGTTTCTCCTTTGGCTCTCACTTCTCAGAGACAAACCCAACTGAAATAGTTCAATGCCACAGAAAAGACAAAGTCCCAATGGAGAGCAACCAAGAAACAGGTATTTCTCCCCAAGCATATCTTTCCACAAGCTACATGGACACAAACATGGATGGGGCTGGGACAGAAGACCAGCCAGCACAAGACCATGCGCAAGGCTTGGAGCAGATCATCAAAAAGAGTGTAGTGGCCACCGATGTTTCTCAACAGAGAAAAATGCCTCTCACTTCAGCAGGTAACAAACTCAGCAACTCCATGATTGAGTATGAGGGCCATCTGTTGGGGATGCTTGCAATGCTGGAAGGCTGTATGGAAGAGACAGGGATGGATTTTGAGCCCCAAGACTGGGCTACAGATGCAACTCAAGAGTATGTACACATCAGTACGAATTCTAACCTCCGTAGGGGTACAACACTTCCCATTCAGCAAGAGGGGTTAATGAAATTGGAGGCCAGCCCGCTAGAATTAGAATTATGTGCTTATCCACATGCAGGGGGGAATATACTTTCGGACATGAACAGAAATGAGCTGGCAGTAGGTTCAGCAACAGTTGAAAGCCGGACATATCCTGTGCTTAGCCTTGATAACACAAGTGGCTTCTCAATGGAAAGACTCGGGGGGCAAGGGAAAGCAAACACAGACCAGAGTGTTCTTGAAGCTCATTTAAGGTTTGCAAGGCCATCGATGACATCAGATAATACACAAAATGGTCCAACGTACTGTGAGGCAACAAGCACAGGATGTATGTCTTCTAATGAAGCCACATTAACAGAGGGAGAAATTAAAGGGATTGAAGTAGACAACAGTCATTTTCCAGCTGAAGGCACAAAAGCGCTGGGGATGGACTCAATTTATCAAGGCCCTAGCATGAATGAATTAAGCGCACTAGGGTCTCAGATGGAGGAGTGGATAGAGGAAGTGCAGCAGGTACAGAAGAGGAGAAAGGAACTGCTGTTGGAGGTGCTTGAGTTGAGAGGAAATAAAGACAGAGAGGAGGTAGAGGACACAAATAAAGAGGAAGCGGAGACAGAAGAGCTAATTGATAGCAAAGTGGCGGTGTTGATGAGTGCACTGCGGAAAGAAGAAGAGGGAAGAAGAGAGGAGAGGAAGAAAGAGATCCAGTGCCTGTGGGAGGAGAGAGCGGAGGAGGAGAGAAGGGTATGGAAAGTAAACTTGGAGAGACAAGGGATTCATGAGGAGCTCAAAAAGCTGAAGAGGAGGCTGTTTGCCATTGCAAGAGACTGCGCTCACAATCAGTTTGCCCTGAACACCCAACATCGAGAGGTGGACGCGCTGAAGAGGGAAGAGGTAAGGAACTCCTTATAAAAGAATTGTACTTCAAAATAAAAAATAAAATCGCCTCATGGTGTCTTCTGTCTTCAAGGAAAAAATGAAGTCACTGGTGCTTGAGCTGACAGAAGAGAGTGCCAAGCTAAGAGCAGCCCATCAACAACAGCTCTTACACCTAAAAGCAGAGCATCATGCCCAGAGCTCCAGTCAGACTTCCAATACCCAGGATCAGCTGACCCAGTGCAAGAGGCACTCCTGTGGGGATATTCAGCAGTATCTGCAGAGTGGGCTTAAAGCACTTGAGGATAGGTACGGTCACTTCTATCCAGGCATACGTTTCAAAACGTTTTTTTATTTATACATGAAACTTATCCTCATGCCGTTTTACATAATAAAAAGATGTGTATTTGTCAATGGTTGTCTTGGCCAGATATGAACCCATTATGCTTGCATTGCTCAAGAGGAGGGAGGTAACAGCCGAATCCCTGGTGAAATCCAAAGAGCAGAACCAGGAGCTCAGAACCAAGCTGAGACCCTTGAAGGAGGAAATCCAAAAACTGATTCTCCAGCGAACTTGTTTAGAGGAGAAACTCAAACTTACTCACATGCAGAGGAGAGAGGATGTGGTGCATTACAAGGTAAGCAGAATTTCTAATTTCAGGTTATGTGTGTAAAACAGACAAGACATTTGGTATGACAAATGAATGAAAGGTGGGGTCACCTGATACTAAAAGCACTCATAACTTGCCATGTAAACAGGAGAGAGTTTACACATTGGAGGAGAGCAGCAGAGAGCTGAAGACTGAGTTAAATCTTCAGAAGAGGAAAACCAAAGAAATAGAAGAATTGAGAGACAGCCTAACCAAACGTTTACTCCTTTACAGGTAAGATTTGTTGCTTTATTTTGTATCCTTATTTGTAATATCTATGGGAAGTCACTGGTATAAAGAAACACTTTCCTTGCAGAGCTGCCATTAAGGACCATAACTGTGATGACGAGCAGAAAAACGACTGACTGTTTTTTTGATTACTTCAAAGATATGTGATTTAATAACGCTATTTTATCACAACTATGAATGCACTTTATACAAATAAGACATGCTTTTGAAACAAATATTTTTTAGTCACCTTGTAGACCAGTTTTGCTATGAATAAAGACTTTTTGTTTGCTGTAATCTCAGTGTGACTGATGAGTTAATGTCCCTGCATGAAGTGTGGAGAGGGTTCATGTACTTATAAGGGCAAGACAATATCCAAACAATGAGAACAAGAGTAATAATAAAGTCAGAACAGGATCTCAGGGTGGGAAAGCACCAAGAACAGACACAAAATGAAGAGCAGTGAGTGTGCTGAGTTAAAACATACGCCCTCACTTCAAGGATTTAGTGTTGTTTAAAAATGTTTGTAGGCTTACTAAGACTCCGTTATAATTGTACAAATATGCAAGTAGAAAATTTATATTAAGAAATGTTGACAATAAATCAAGTGGACCCACAGACTAATGAAACACATTTTTATTAAGAATGCACTCACTGTACAAACATTGAACATATAAAAAGTTCAACCACTAATCTATAGCACGAAAAACAGTTAAATGATTATTTAATGATTCAGGTTTGGGAAGGTGGGACCACCAATGGACAATTCAAACAGATTCACTCCAAAATTCTTATTTATTTTAAAAACAGCTGGTGAGAAAATCAGTATCAAGACCTATTTAGGTTCTGACCACAATGAAGCGCAAAATATGAGACACATTTCAGATAGTCTTCTAGCCTGTGAACAAAACCATCTTCACAGTTTAAGTAACTGCCACTACCCTTTGAATCATGTCAAAAGCTGGGCTGCAAGTTCACTTGTAACATTTTCCTGCTGTGTACACTTTGAACAGCGGGCTTTTGCCAAATTACCTTAATGTCTGTTTGTGTGTTTGATACTGTATAAACATGTTTATTTATTGTTGAAAAAGCCTCGGTTAATAGCGGACAGTGTGGAACAGAGAGCCAGTTTGGTTGCGGAAAACAATTGTTTATGCACTGTGGGAAACCTGAGATTCATCAGGCGATAAATTACTCAGTTAAAGGACAGTTCTTCAAATTGAGCATTCCAAAAGGGCCAGGGCTACACATGATTTTTAAATTTCTTGTATTTACAGTGCTTTAACCGAATAGTGTCCCACCAATAAAGTAAAGAAGGATGGGAGGAAGAAGTAGAAGTAGCTGCACGGAACTACTGAGGGGGCAGTTTGGCAGTTTATGATGAGGTTGTAGGTTAAACGCACAACAGGAAAAGATGCTATGCTGTGGCTTCAGGGTCTGTTGAACCCTCAGGGTCTTCATCGTTGTAGATGTTCTCAGCCTAAAGGCAGAATCAGAGAGTAAGGGATTTAGTCACATGCTGTCAGGGGGTCGAGACATTTACAAGTCAGTGGCATTTTTTCTTTTAGGACATTCAGTAAAAAATTAAGTCTTGGGCTTTCAAAGAACCAAACTACTACAGTCTGAACAGCCAGCTTGTTTTAACATTGTATTACTGTACATTGTAACAGGACAAGTAAGTATTAAAAAGCAATGCAAAGTTTAGGAAATAAAGACAGCTGGTTCAGAACACTTACCATGTTTACCTTTCCTTCTTCTGTCTTATTCTTTTGCCCAGACTCAATCTCACAAAAAAATGTATTTCTTTACATCAAAAGTCGATCTTCACTGAGTTTCTCTTTGCGGTCGCTAGTTCAAATGTCAGGCTCCTTCCAAGACACAACTTTCCCTGCAAATTATTCCCTGCCCTGTTCGACCCACACATCATAGTTTTGGTAAGGCACAAGGGATCTTCATGGAAGAGTTGCCTTCTGTCTGTGACCTTAACGTACTGCTTCAAATCAACTTTTCTCCAATTAAATTGTGGGAAAGTAATTCCCTTTATGACACTATAATGTAAGAATGGATATTTTTCTCTACCCTGTCCACAGCTAAATATACTGGTTAAATATACTCGCAGAGTCTTACCATTTGCCAGACTTGCATAATGTTGTCTTCAGACACGGAGCAGATGACCCAAGGCTCGTTAGGGTTCCAGGAAAAGTCTGAGATCTTGGCTGTGTGGCCTCCATGGATAAACTAGTAAACAGGGGAAAAAGGCAAATTTTAACTTTTTCTGAAACAAGATAGCATACAACCTCCAATGTTCAGCAGGCTATAAAATACACACCAGTAGCTCAGGTGGGCCATCCTCTGCATCTTCTGGTGACTGCTCCTCTCCGATTTTGCTACAGAAATCAGACAAAGATTTGTAAATCAGACAAACTCTGTACCAATCACTGCATACTGTGACCACTCCTGTGTTTGTGTAAAGTCTGCTTCAGGGGGCAATCATCATTGGACCTTGGTGTTTTATCTTTAATGATACTACTACAACAACAACTACTTCATGAAAACTTATAATCTCTATTAATAAAACATGTTTGTAAACATAACACACATTGTAGTAGTCCACTCTCAAGAAGAAAAGAGATCAACAGACTGGCTAGAATGTCAGGAACTGAATCGGTCACCAGCAGGGGAATCTGAAAACATGATAGCTGCTTCCAGCGGACATTGGGTTGCAGTGTTTTACCTGAGATCCCAGACATTCAGGCGACGGTCTGTTCCACTGGATGCCAGTATGGTCTCATTATGAGGAGACCACTGAACCTGTAAATAACAGTCAAATAAATCAAATTAGGTCATCCTAAGTAAAAACACAAGAGTTAAAATCATAAAAATCTCATCACAAGGAGGTTGTGTGGGGGACCAATCTACAGGGTTTCTAGGTAGGTAGTTGGGTAGTAGGTAGGTTTCTAGGTTGCATTGCTGGGATTTAATTCATTCAGTTTTCTTAAGACTTAAGACACAGTTTCAATGCAAAATATATATATATATATATAATTATAAAGATCTTACCTGGAAAATCTCATCCTTGTGCGACTCAAAGGAATGCAGCTTCAGTTTCAGGTTTCTCAAGTCCCAAAGAGCCACAGTCTGCGAGCACAAGAAAGAAATTAGACACAGCTGCAGATCTTTTTAAACCCTGCAAACAACCAAGTAAAACAGCACAAATACTTTTCTCACAGAGTTTTAAAACGCAAATATCCCAGAGTTTCAACAAATTGTGGAAATTGATCTACAAAGTCAAAATGTGGTGGTTCATTACATTACCTTGTCGGCTGAGCCGGAGGCAAGGATGAACTCGCTGTAAGGGTTAAATGACAAACAGTTGACTTCTGCTGTGTGGGCGTCCACTGCATGGCTGGGTTTGGAGGTGTTGTTTGAACGTGTGTCCCAGCTGAGGTAAAAAATAAAGAAGACCAAAATTATTCCATAAACTCTACAAGACCACAATTTTGCAGGTGAACTGATGGATCCACTGGTAAGATTTGACTCTTCATCAAATGTCTTACATCATGAGTTTCTGGTCATCTGCTACGGATCCAAAGAGTGACTCGTGAAGCAAGTGCCAGGACACATCCTCCACCACAGCAGTGTGACCAGTGAAGATAGTCTTTGCGTCAACTATCTTGCCCTCTTTTGGTACAGCACTTATATCCCACAGACAGACAGTCTACAGAGCAGGAAAGATGAGCAAAGAAAAAATAAATAAATAAATGTCAGATCCCATATTTGAAGACTGCTTAATAAAACTTGATTTTGATCTTACATGGTCATCTGAAGCACTAAGTAAAGAGCCAGAGAGATTTGGATTCCAGGACAGACCATAGCCTTCTTTCTGGTGGCCTCTGAGACGCAGATCAGGACGACACTCTCCAGAAGCATCTATTGACAATGCAAAAAGTTAAATTTGAGTATTAACGAAGATGTGTTAAACATGATGCACTTTAGTCGTTCAAAAGGTACAACTGAGTCTGCTTTACTTTCGAAACATGTTCAACCAACAAGCGACCTCGAGCAGTGTCTTGTACTTCCTGTGATCTTCCTACCTGGCTTGGAGGGATGTTTAGTGTAGTCAAACACCAACACATCTGAAGTGGGGGTCTTGGTGGCAATTATGCAGGGGTTTTGGGGCATGTAGCGGGCTCGGTTCACCTCTCCTTCATGGCTTATCTTGATTTCAATCTCAATTTTGCCACTTACAGATCCGAAGCCTCCAAACTCTGCAGTGAAATACAAGAGATTATTTTACAGTAGTGAAATAAATGGAGACAGTGCATGTTTTTCTGTCTTCATGCAACTGATTAGGGGCAGCAGGCAATAACACAAGGGTTTGAACTCACAATTTCAGCTAAAGGCAACAATGCTACTTGCAACTATTGAATTGTAAGGCTTACTGAGGGCTTATAAACTTTGCTTAACAACTTTTTTTCCTGATTAAGTGTACAATCCACAGAATGTTCACATTTGTAAGGAATGTGACTACACAGGTGTCGAACTGTTTAATCAGACTCTTTAACAGCATCACCACCTCATGCGACACACTGTGTGTGTTTTTAATAACAATAACTCTTTTCAGTGTAGTTACTGTGTAATTTTCCATTATTGTATTTTTTTTATTTAACTGATGTAAATATGTTGATTTGCCTTTTAACTTCTATTTTTATTTTTAATAATTATATTCCCGTCCCCTGTTTTCTTGAGCTGCTGTAATGCACAAATTTCCCCCACGGGGGATCAATAACGTTTATCTTTATCTAACCTCCTTTTTCGCTGTCATAATGTGAGGCATCAAACTGGGCATCATCATTCGGCAGCTGGACACTGGCAATCACCAGGTGATTCTGCTCATCCGACGTGTGAGTGCCCAACACCAGCCGGTGCACGCTGTAATCTTTCCCTTCTGGCCTGGTAAAGACAAAATAAATAGAAAATTACAATGTGCAAGTTGTTACTTTTACGTACAACTGTCCAAATGTGTAAAAACAAACAAAAAATGTGTACCTGGAGACATCAGGCAACCACTGGGCAGTAAGACTGGGCCACTCCAGAGCGTGGGTCATAACCAGATCATACAGAAAAGGAGTGTTTTTCTTCCAGATCTTGTACTCCTCATTTATGACCCTCTCCTCCACAGCATCATCAAATGCACCTGCTGAGTGGGGACAGAGATTAACGAAAAAAGGGGTTATTCACATAAATGCCAGTTTGTATTAACATGAAAACTTCAGGAAGTGTGTTTAACTCGATTGGACGGTAGGTGTCACTTTAATAATAAGGACTATACAACACATCTCTGACATTAACAGATTATTGACAACCTCCTCATAAAAAGCTGTTAAAGGCTGCCTTTGCTGAGGCAAAATGTCACATTAATGAACCGCAACCTTGCAAGCACTGCGTATTAAATCATATGAAAGCTTATTTCCTCACACATTGAACCTTTAGCTTGACATCACCTGGCTATCATAAAGCCCCTGCTAACGTTAGCATATTTATAATGACGTTTGATGGCTAAAGCTTCACATTTGACCATGTTGACTGGTGGCAAACAATGCGGAAACGATAACTGCAATCTGAAACCAAAATTGTTTCGGTTAAAAAGAAAATCCAGCTGCCCGGCTTTTGTTGTATCTGCTACAGGCCTGCTAAGGAGCTACAGCAGCTAGCCGCTACCGAAGCTAGTATTTAGCTCGCAAATATAAGACGCGTCAGATATCCGCGGTGTTTGTTCCTGGCAGTAGTACAAGCTTGCCCATTTACCTTCCTTGTCGGCCATTGCAGGTAAATGACGAAGACACCTTATCTCAGGTTTTTCCTCTGTTTTTGCTCCGTTTAAAACACAGCGCAAAGCTAACAGCGAGCAGAGCAGCAGCCTGTGAAACACGTAGCGGTGCCTTCGCGCGCTCAGTCCAAGTGAGGGGGGCGTCTATCTACCAATCAGAGCCGAGCTCGTGGTGACCAGCAGAGGGCAGCAGCACCCACAGTGCAGAGTGTGCTGCCTTACAAAAGGCAATGAGTTTTTGTTATTTTTGGAACATTACAGATGTGCTTTATCATGTGGACAGATATCTTGAGTCTTGTGTTGTTTTTAGGAAATAGTAGGTTGTATTGGTCTTAACTTCCAAAAGCCCTCGAGAAACCAAGGCCGAGTGCTGTAACTTCACTCATAAGGGTCTTCTGCCTTTGTTTTGCTGCGGATCAAAGTGAAGTTACTGTTTCACTGCAGTGGAGTTAAGGTGTTATGCCTTTGTTTTAATATCTGTCATCAAGCACTTCTGACACACACACAGTAGCTTGACTAAAGTGTAGCAAAGAAATAGTGTTGGTTGTGTTATTTTAACCATGCAACCAAGTGAAATACATTTTAGATTTAGATTTTACTTTTTGAAATTACAGTTTTTACACTCTGTAATCATACAACACACACATGATCCTATGATCAGGATCCTATGGACATGCACTAATGGAGAGAAGGGCTCCTGAGCTGATGGTGGGGGGTTTGGTGCCTTGCTCAAGGGCACCTTGGCAGTGCTCAGGCACTTCTCCAGCCACCAGACCAACTTCCATATTTGTCCACACCAGGACTTGAACCAGTGACCCTCTGGTTCCCAACCCAAGTCTCTACAGACTGAACTACTTAAGTACCTTGATTTCCAAACACAGGTCAAAGGTCAAGTTTTTTTTTAAAAAGATTTTTATGAACATTAATAACCTCATTAAGAAAACAAAGAATTGCCACATTTTCAATATTCTGCCTGCAACTCATTAGGCTGGACAACAAAAAGAGTTTAAAGTCATTTTTCTGGATCTTATTACAGGCAACTGAAGAAAAGTCTAATTTTACTTTTTTTAATCTAACTTTTAACTCTTTTTATATTTTTACTTTATTTATTTTTTGAATTAATTTCATTTGAATTATTTTATGTTCAGATTTAATAATTTGATTTTTTTTTTAATGTTCTATTTTAATGTTTATTTTCTTTCCTCTGTCATGATGCTTTTGATGTCTTGTGTGACGCGCTTTGAATTGCCTTGTTGTTGAAATGTGCTATATAAATAAACTTGCCTTACACATCCTTTTTTTATTTCTCTCAAGAGCCTGAATCTGTACATTTTCTCACCTACTAGTTAAAGGACAACATTACCTTTCTTCTTGTCTATTGGTCCACCGCCGGAGTAAGATGGTAACTGATTGGACACTAATAACAAACTGATCGCTCATTGGCTGAGGAGGACGCGGGACCTCAAACGCCAAATACAGCTCAACCAGCACACTGCCTAAAATATCCTTCGTGACGTGGACTGAACTGTAGCACAGCAGGTCATGCGGTCAATATGTCCACAAGCGATATGTCCCGTACGCTGGACATCCTCCGGTTGCTGTATCAGCACACACAGACACTTGAAGAGTTTGTGAAAGGCATTGTGTTCAGAGAGGGACAGAGAATAGTGCTTATTGAACAGTCCGACCAAAACCGCTTTAAGTCTTTCGTGCAGGGTATTTTTGTATGCTTTGACAAGGAACTACAGCAAGTACCAAGCTGCAACCAGGTAACTTAACCCCCCCCCCCCATTTAAACATCTATTCGTCCTTTGGTTCGTCAGTGTCGACCTGACATGTGGGTTACTTCTTGTGTAGCCATGGAGCAGTAGTAAGGCTGTCATGCTGGTTGTTATTCTGTCCGTGATGTTGTTAAAATATGGGAATTCAACAGCACGCCCACAAACAAACCAATTATCCAAGGTTTCTGTAAACGCCTTTATACATTAAATGTTAAAAGTAAATTCATTGGTAATCTCTACAAAGCCATCAGAGTTAAAGGGAACTGGATGTGATGTTTCCTTCCATGCATATTGGAAAGGAACATGATGGGTCTTTTAATATATATTACTCAAATGAGAGAGATTAATGGATTTTTTTTTTTTTTTTTTTTTTTTTTTACATTTCTCACAGATTTGTACTCTGCCTGAACTTCTGGCCTTCCTGCTTAACACCCTCAAAAGAAAAAGAAAGAGGAACGTCTTGGCCCATGGCTACAATCTGCTGTCCCTGGCTCAGGAGGAGCGGGATGCAGACCACTTCAAATTCCAAGGAGATATCACACAAAGCGCTGCTTACATCCATGGAAGTGACCTGTGGAGAAAAGTCTGCACGCGTCTCGGCACAGACATCACACGCTACCTGTTGGAGAGCTGTTCTGTGTTTGTGGCTGTCCCTCCATCATGTCTTTTCCAGGTATGCGGTGGTCCTGTCTATGACAGAGTATCGATGACTACTGCGTCCACCGGGTTTAACCTTCAACCTCGGTCCAAAAGACACCACAGAGCTCATTTGAGAAGGAATGCAGGTGCAGGGATTTTGAAAAGGAGCCAGGAAATTCAGAATCCTAGTCGCGGAAAGAAAAGGAGCGATAGGGATATGAGGATAAAGAACAGGAAAAGAAAGAGAGAAATTGAGGAGCGTGATGAGGAGGGAGTTATGCCTCCTTCAGCAAAGAAGAGACAGATAGAACAGCAAGGACCCACGAATGAAAGCCAACAGGTTTGCTTTAAAACATTAGAGAAACAGCAGCCAGAGTCAGTGGAACCAACACTGTTAACGAAGCCTTCAGAAAATAGTTTGACAGGTTCCAAACAGCATGCTGAAACGCAGCCAACCACACTGCCCTTGGAAGGAGGACCCAGCTGGAGATCGGGGATTCCCCCCCCTCCTTCTCCTTCACAGTGTTTGATCCGCACTCTTGGATTCCTGTATGGGGGAAAGGGGATACGCGGCTTCCTTCTCAATAGGAAGAAGAAGAGTGCTAATGGAGGCAAAAGGCTTCAGGGGCAAGATTTGGTAAGAATAGTCTTTTTTGAAGGACTGCCTTATCTGAACGGCCTGGAAAGAAAGCCAAAGAAACTCCCCAGACGCTTTTTTAACATGGTCCCCCTGTTCAGCCAGGTGTTGCGTCAACACAGGAAATGTCCCTACAGCAGAATACTGCAGCGGATGTGCCCGGCGGTTGAGGTGACTGATGCAGGACAAGGGAAGCTAAGCTCCTTCTTGCCTCAGCACTGCGCGCCTCACAGGGTCTACATGTTTGTGAGAGAATGCCTCTCCGCTGTGATCCCTCAGGAGCTGTGGGGCTCTGACCACAACCGACTTCATTTCTATAGCAGAGTCAGGAGCTTCCTGCGCAGTGGCAAGTTTGAGAGGCTCTCGTTGGCTGAGCTGATGTGGAAGATGAAGGTGAATGACTGTGATTGGTTGAAGATCAGTAAAACGGGTAAGGTTTTGTTTATTTTTCTAATGCAACATGTTGGAGAATTTTTTGATGACCTAACCAAATCCCTCTTATCTGCAGGCAGGATCCCGCCCAGTGAGCTCTCATACCGCACACAGATCCTGGGCCAGTTCCTGGCATGGCTTCTGGACGGTTATGTAGTCGGCCTGGTTCGAGCCTGTTTCTATGCCACTGAGAGTGTGGGTCAGAAAAATTCCATCCGGTTTTACAGACAGGAAGCCTGGGCAAAACTGCAAGACTTGGCCTTCAGGTACACATACAGACACACAACTTGTAAATCACGTATTCTCTTACAGTCATGCTCATAAAACCATCTTTTTGTGCTTTAGGGGTCACCTTTCCAAGGGTCAGATGGAGGAGTTGACTCCAGCTCAGGTGGCAGCCCTCCCCAAATCCACCGTCATCTCCCGCCTCCGCTTCATCCCCAAGACAGACGGCATGAGGCCTATCACACGAGTCATGGGAGCAGACGCCAAAACCAGGGTACGTTTTTATAACGATGTGAAAACTCCCCGCTACATGTTCACGAGGTTTGTGTTATTACATGTGTTGTTGTTTTTTTGCCAAGTGGAATAACAACAAAAGCTCGACTGTGGCAGTATCATAGACCAGCAGAGTCTTGATGACTTTTTTTTAAAGGATATTTTCCCCAAAATAAAAAAAACTTGTAACAGATGAATAAGGCAAAGAGTTTGTGTGTGTGTGTGTGTGCAGGGTTCATAAATATGGCATGTATGCTGAAGAAAAAGATAAACAAGTGAAAAAGATCATTTTTATTTATAAAAGTAAAATGTTGCAATTATATAAAAATCATGAATTTATTTTGATAAATGATGTAATAAAAATGCATTGCTGTTGTAACACATATAGTATTGAAGTAATGGTATATTTTAAATGACATAACATCAGTAAGACATAATAACAACATTATTACATTTTGTGAGCATGTGCACATTTTGAGGTGATTTCTCCCCCCCCCCCACAGCTCTACCAGGTGCGTGTTAGAGACTTGTTAGACATGCTGCATGCCTGTGTGCGCTCCACTCCTTCCCTCCTGGGCTCCACAGTGTGGGGGGTGACAGATATTCACAAGGTGATGCGCTCTGTAGCTCCGGCCCAGAAGGAGAAGCCACAACCACTTTACTTTGTTAAGGTTGGTGTTGAGCCTCATACATTGTTTGCAATGTATTTTATGCAGAATTACATCTAATTCAATTGTTGCATGTTAGACTTAATCTTAATTGATCAAACATTGGGCTGACACATGTCCAGTCAAAAAAATGTTTTTAATGATTTTTTATCCTTTTTTTCCCCCCTTTATTCCGTCATGTTTCTGCACTCAAGGTAGATGTGAGTGGAGCCTTTGAGAGTCTGCCTCATGAAAAACTCATTGAGGTGATCGGCCAGGCTCTTTCCCCCGTCCAAGATGAACTCTTCACCATCCGCCGCTATGCCAGGATCTGGGCCGATTCCCATGAGGGCTTGAAAAAGTCCTTTTCTAGACAGGTACCGTTACACACACACGCTGCACACACTATGCCTGTGTATGTATATTCAAACACAGTATCCATTTCCCTTGTGTGTTAAAAAAAGGCAGATTTTCTGGATGACAACATGGGATCTACCAACATGAAAGGCTTTGTGATGTCACTGCAGAAAAGCAGCAGAGTTCACCACGCCATACTGGTAGAGCAGGTATGAATGACTTTCTCAGATTTGTCTTTGGATTAGGATGTTCAACATTAGTACCTTTTGAATCGTATTTCTTTTTCTTCCTTTAAGCATTTCAACTCAGATCTTCATGGCAGAGAAGCCGTGCAGTTCTTCACCCAAATGCTAACTGGCAGTGTTGTTCAGTTTGGGAAGAAGTAAGCGTCATAGACGATAAATCAACTTTCAAGTATTCAATAAGTCAAAGCTGGTTTGGAAATGTAATGACAATCAAATAGCTTTATACATGATTGGGTTTGGTCTGCTGTGTTTCAGAACATACCGACAGTGCAGAGGGATTCCTCAGGGCTCTGTCGTGTCCAGTCTGCTCTGCTGCATGTGCTATGGCCACATGGAGAACAGTCTGTTCAAAGACATCACTGGAAAGAAAGGGTACAGTAGATGTCTCCGTATTCAAGGCAATTTTCATAGATGTAGTGACATATCTGTAGCAGCAGGAGGCACTCTTTCGATATGTTAGTGCTTCTATATTTCCTGGATCTGTTATTAATCTCTCTGTTTCCAGTAGATGTTTAATAAGGATGGTAGATGACTTCCTTCTGATAACACCAGACTTACATGAAGCTCAAGCCTTTCTCAGGTATGACACAGCAAGTTTTTATGACCCCATGATATCATGGCACAAGAGCTCTCAACCAACATTTCAACTTAATATTTTAATTCTTTTGAATCTACTTGATTTTCTTTTATCAGACAGAGGACAAAAACTGTTTCAAAGCTTGACTGCAGTAATGCAAGATTTGACTGGGACTTATTACCCTATATTATTTTAATTTGTTGTATGTGTGTGAGTGTGGGCATAACCTTTTCAGTGGCAGCAAAATTATTACCAGAAACCATACGCATTATTTTGTAGAAAAATAATAAAATCCAATTTATGTTATCAGTCTTCCCTTTGATGACGACATCAGGTATAATTAATTGATTTAAACACTGTAAGACTACATAAAATGTATGAGGAAATACTGATCTTAATGCATGGAAACTTTTGAAATTCAAAGGAATATTGTTCTTGACATTAAAAAAAAAAAAGCAAATTAAGCTGAACGACCAGAAATTCTAAAATAGAGTCAGTAAATGATAAATATCTGTAATTGAACACATTAGACATACATGAAATAAACATAACCAATTTCAAGCTTTAAAATTAAAATGAAAAGCTTATGTAACATCAGGATTATTGCTTTATCTCCGAGGGGAATCCGAGAAAGTTTAATAACATGCAGTGAGTCAGCATTAAAGGCAGAAACTGAATTGTTCTGAATACATCTATCAGTTGTGCTGTGCTTTGCAATTCATGACAAAAGGCTAGAAATGGAAGTTTTTGTGATTGTATGTGGTTGAGAGACTTAACATGTATATAACCTGATGCTGAATTTGCATTTTATCTGTCAATACTGGCACTTGTTGTGTTTTAGGATATAGTAGGCAGGGAAACCACAGCATACACTTAGCAGTATATTTCTGGTAAACTTGCTGCAAAGTTGGCTGTAGCTGTCTCCCGCTGCCAGCTTTAACAAACTCCGTGAGCTCTGCGGCGTGCTGGTTCTTAAGATGTTTAATCAAATTACTCGTATTGAAGGAGCTAATTTTCACCCCTCCACTTGACAATTTTGCAGTGCAAAGTTTGCAGTCTGCTCTTCTTTTGTCGTAATCGTTTACGCTGAAATATCTCCACACCGCTGACATCTCGCTTCTCTCCGCCTACCCGCTCAGCTGAATAGAGGCGCACGCCCGCCGTAAAGTGGTATCGGTACCGTTGTATCCGTGTAGTTTTACGAGTACGAGTATGAGTACTCAGACCGATGCCAAATACTCATATCGGTATCGGGTCATCCCTAGTTCACACATATCCAAGTGTTCTGTTTTACCAATGGATTATTCAAAGGTTTCACATTCCAATGCTCAAATGAGTAGTGTTTCTTATCAATAAACAGGAAAGGAGTTTTTTTTTTTCCTGTTAATTTGAGTTAACTCCAGGTCAATATGTTAAAGTGTTATATGATGTGCTTGGACTCATTCTCAAGATTAGTATCGATATTCCTCTGAAATTACCATCCTCGAAACTAAATCAGATCTCATTGCTTTATCTCTTCAAGGGAAAATAATCACAGAAACATCACAGTGATAGTTAGAAAAAATAGTCACTGCCTCTCACTTTTAATTTCCATTTAGTGGTGGTGATAGTATCTATATCATGTAGAACTACACAATGTTGTTTTTTATGGAAAAATGTTGAGAGACAGATTTGATAAACATCATGCTGTTTTTTTTTTTTTTTTTTCATAGGGTCTTGCTGGCCGGGGTACCACAGTATGGTCTGGTGGTCAACCCCCAGAAGGTTGCAGTCAACTTCCAGGTGTCAGGGACTGTGGACTCTTGTCCCGACATCCGTGTGCTCCCCCCTCGCTGCCTCTTCCCCTGGTGTGGACTGCTACTTGACACCCACTCACTGGATGTCTACAAAGATTATTCAAGGTGAAGCATCCTGTCACCTGTAATTACACGGTAGAATAATTGCTTTGAGTGTGCTTGTTACATGATGTGTTCTGAGCTTTTGGCATTCTTTATCATTTCCTGTAACTTCAGTGAACTTTGCACCTACTCATAAACAGTCTTAGAGACGACTGCCTGTCTCACATGTGTGATTCATACTCTTGCAAAGGACACAGTAAAGATAACTTCTTTGCCAAACATTTTTTTTCCAAAGCAAATTCAACTTTTATGAATGATTTTCTTACTTTCTCTCTGTCTCAGCTATGCAGGTCTGTCTTTGCGCTACAGTCTTACCCTGGGCTCTGTCCACTCAGCTGGACAGCAAATGAGGAGGAAGCTGATGTCTATCCTCAGACTCAAGTTCCATGCTTTGTTCTTGGACCTGAAGGTCAGGAACATAGTGATCTAAAAGGCTTTCATGTGCCTGTAAATAACTCCCATGAACAATTCTGATACTGATGTTGTCACTGTAAAAAAACATTTTATTCTACAGGAACATTGTAGCTTTTCTCCATCTATGCTGAAGGCAGGTTTCTAACTATCATATGACACTAGTTTTAGCTTACCTTATGCCATTAGATTTGTAATGACAATCATTTTCTCCAGACTATGAATTCTATGACTTCGGTGCTGATCCTTCTACTTAAAGGAGTGCCCCACATCAGGTCTTAGTATTAATTGGTGGGAATGCTGATTCATTTGTTTTTCGTGACAACATAATTTCATCCGAGGCCCTGTGGCTTGAGTTGAACTTGTGCTTAGTGCCAAACAGCAAACGAGAACTTCATAACACACTAAACTAAGATGATTCTCATGGTAAACATAAGATAACCTGTTAAACTTGAGCATATTATTTTTGGCGGCTGTGGCTCAGTTGGTAGTATCGGTCGATGGTTCGATCCTCAGCTCCTGCTGCTAGATTTTCCAATTTGTCCTTGGGCAAGTCACGTCACCCCAAGTTGCACACGCGCCTTTGTCAGTGGTGTATGAGTGTGTATTGATGGGATAAGTTACCTCTGATGGTCACTTTACATAGAAACCTCTGCCATCAGTGTGTCAGAAGACCAGAAAGCGCTATACAAGCTCGAGTCCATTTATCATTTACCATCTATTTTTGTAATTGTAAGCATGTGAAAATGCTGACTTAAGCATTAAACTAAAGCTTTGTCCGAGCATCACCTGAGATAGTCATTAGCATGTTTGTAGACTTTTAGCCCTAATGTAGCATGCAAAGTTACTTTGAAGCAATTTACAGACAATGTAAATGAGGAAAGGGTATATGTGAGTTGGTTGTCTGAATTTTATTCTGAACTATTCCGCTTGATCCCTTTTTAAAAGATATATATAATACAACTGTTATCATGAATTTAATGATTGTTGGTTGTCTTTTGATCCATGTCAATTTAACCAACTTAAAAAAATGTCTTTATTAAAAAAGCCTTTTAATTTATGAGGTAAAGATCCTCTACAAAGGCCATGTACACGTTCAATCCGCTGGATGACAAACATAAATTAACTGTGTCCCAATTTAAGGGCGTCTTCCCCCAAAAGACGGTTGGAAACCTGACCCGGCCCTTTCTGTCCGAAAATAATGCGATCAGATGGAATTAATGAACAAGTAGAGTAAAAAAAATATCCAAGGTGACCAGCTGGAATTTACCCTCAAACAGCAACTAGTCGATTAGTAACAGTTGTAAACTTGTCCAAGTTTCACAATAACTGCTTTAATGAGTCGTGACGTTTCAAGTAATTGGGATACAATGTAGCGACATGCTTTATTGATTAAATGCTTCAGTTTTTTTTTTTTTATTATTATTTATTGATGGGTTTATTTTCCTTCTCAGACCAATTCTCTCCAGGCGGTCTACAAGAACATCTACGAGCTGGTGCTGCTTCAGGCCTGCAGGTGAAGACATGAGCCTTACTTTTTACCCTTTTTTAAAAAATGTTTTAAACCAGTTGTCACCAATTATGTTTGCACCACTTTCATTGACGCTTTTATTCCTTATTCAAATGTTTATAAATCATACGGTTCCTAAAAATAATGTGTCTTGTTTACCCACCACCCACGAACAACTCCTTTATAGGTTCCATGTGTGCGCTCTGAGTTTGCCCTTTGGTCAGACCGTTGCCAAGAACCCCATGTACTTCCTGCAGATGATATGGGACATGGCCGAGTATGCAAATCGTCTCATCAGGAGCAGCAACAAAGGCAAAATTGTACCTATGTATTGAATTTTTTTTTTTTTTTTTAAAGCACTATAAATGTTGTACCGTATTTATCATCATTTCTTTATCTCTTCCTGGATGTAGGACTAAGTTTGGGCAGTAAGGCCCAGACCGGCATTTTGCAGTATGAAGCAGTGGAGCTGCTGTTCTGTCTTTCCTTCTCCTTGGTGCTGACACCTCACCGTCCTCTATATAGGAGTCTCATCTCACACCTGCACAAACGTATGTAACCCTCATGTGTAACAACATTACACAAGAACTATCCTATGGAAGCACAATTGTAATGAAATCTTCATTTTATTAATAATAAAGTTTATATAGCATATTTTATATGAAAGAAATGCAATAGGCTGTAGAATAGAAATTGCATCATTTAAAAACACAGCAGAATATATTCTTACATGTGTATAAATACTTAAAAAAGGTCAAAGAATGTATCCAAGAAAAGGCTGCAGAAATTAGATGTATTAATCATCAGCTTTTAAACTTGCCAGGAACGCCACTGATCTTTAAAAAAGGACTTTGTGAGAGATAGTGACAACCAAACAGGTTTAGGGACGCCATGATCTTCCAGGAACACAAACACAGTTATTGCAATCACTTAATTTGAGTTTACTGGTATCAAAAACATTCAAGTGAAGAAATGTTAAAGGACAATAAATAGGAACATCTTTGAATCGGTCATCCTCTTGGCAGGGAAGCGCAGTCTGGAGCGGCGTTTGGGGGACCTGAGGCTAGCCAGGGTCCGACAGGCGACCCATCCCAGGATCCCGGAGGATTTCTTTGCCATCCTGGTGTAGATCAACAGCTTGATCCAAAAAAAAACATCTCGCAACAACACAACTGCAAAAACTCTCTTCAGCCCTGAGTTATTGGTAAGCAGTTCAGCTTTGTGCCCAGAATGTGTATGTTGTGAGATTTAATCTGTTTTTTTTCTCTCTCTCTCTCCCCAAAAAAAAAAAAAAAACCTGTTTTTTTAAAATCACCTTGTTTTGACTTTTCTTCCGGTTTCGAGGGAGGGGGAAGAACAGGGTGTTAAAATCAGTCATGTGGATTTTCTGACCTGTAAGTGTGCCAATTTTTCTTTTAATTATTCTTCTGTGCCAAGAAGTCAGGCCTTAGCCAACTGATAAAAAAAAAAAAATCCTTCGTGATAAACCTGAGTCATAAACAGGCCCTATTCAACAACCGGATCAGTAAAAATGGATAACTGACAATCATCCTGCTACTGTAATACTTCCCACAGCCGTTTGACTAGCTGGACTTTGATACTGTTGTTTTCCACACAAATCCATGTGACATCACTTGGAAATTCCTTCCTGTATAAAGTTATATAATATATATATATATATATAACACTATAAACAGGCACACAACGCCCTTTACACATGTGTTGTATGAACACCTAAGTGAGTGTGTGGTTCAGATAAACGTTTCTGTGAATGTGGAATCAAAGATGGCTGTTGTGTTTTCAGCATCAATTATGTTGATTTGTATTATATCTTGTTCACTTAATAAGAGTTTCCCTGTTGAATAAATCCAGATGTGTTATTGAAAGAGCAAATTTGAGTTGTCATCTGTCAAATCAATGCCTGATAAAAAATGATTGTAAATATAACAGTACACAACAATTATGAGTCAGTGCTCCAGAATTCCACAGATTCTGGCGTCCCATTAAGATCTCCTTTTTCTTTTCAGAAAACATGTTAACATGGTTGCCTGTGTTTCCTAAGTGTTCTGTTGCAAGCTTCCTATGTTTCAATCTGAAAGCCGTCGTTGGAGTAGGGGTTTAGGTCAGTGCGAGCAGAGGACTTCTTGGTGCAGCGTAAGATCAGTCTGTAGAGCGCGACCAGAGGGATGGGAAGCACAGGAACGACACAGAGAAGGATGATGATGGCAAACACCCACTCTGGGTAGTTCAGTGTATCAGTGCCAGGAAAGGGTTCCTTAAAAATAGAGCCAAAGAAACATACATTATAATGTGTAGAGAATCACAACATGTTTAGATTTAAAATGATTTCAAAGGCATTGACTCAGTTTTAACAAAGTCATTACGCTTAGCTAAACTATTCAAAGTACTGCTTTAAGTAACTCCCTGTAAATGCTAACACATTTGATTTTTCATTTATGATATATAATATTCAACAAATTAGTAACGATTTATGAATTGGTCAAATTAAGAGGGGCATGTAGGATATATTTTTTGTCAGACCCCGGTTAGCTGTTGTTTTTGATTTCTGCTGTGTTGTGAACAAAGTGTATCAATCACCTAATCTACCTCCAAGGAGGAAGAGGATTTAATATTTCCATTACTGTGTAACCACTCCTGTACACCATCAAATTTATCGGATGAAGTCTAAAACAACATCCTCATGAAGTTGGCAAGAAAAAGGGTTACTATTGCATTTGAACACGTTGAGAACATGAAGCAATATCATCACTCATTTAGAGCGATATGAAAAAAGCTGTAAAATGTCAATCTGATATTCACTTGATTTTATTCTACAACGGCCCCTGAGGGATCATTACGATGGATATGGTCATACGGATATCTTTATTCTTTTCACTCAGCAATACTGTTGTGTTGTGTATGTAGTGAACACTGTTAAGAAATCTTTCAGTAGTATCAAAGTAGTGTCAGTATTATCAGTAGTAGGGCCAATATTCTGATGTCTTAGCTGTTAACTGCTATGTGGTCAGCTGGTGTCTCACCATTTGGTGATGGGCTAATTTAAGAGTGATGGGAATTAATCAAAAAGTAAAGGGGGAGAGCATGAAAACAAAAAATAAATGGAAATCAGTCTTTAGGGTTATGGAAAACTGCAAAGTCGGGTTGTTGTTTTTCCTCTATCAGCGTTAGTCTTTTTTCACATGTATTCTGATTTCATCAATTCTTTATAGTGCTGGGTGATATGACCTAAAAATGAAATCTCCGATTTTTTTCTCCCCAAGCTTGATTTACAATTAGTATGGGGGGGGGGGGTCCTCTAAAAGACATAAATAAATGACAAAGAATTGAGGATTAATAAAGTGACCTGAATTATTCTTTTGGGGTTACAATGTAAACTGTAAACTTGTCTACTATGGAAATCTGAACTATGCAGGTTAAGGAAACAGCAAAAGTACAAATGAGGCAGAGCAGCTTCAGCAGATACTTGTTGCTGGGTGGCACATACCTGGAGCTACTCAGCCACTCTGTAGGAAGTAAACATGGGGGGAGGATGTAAACTAGAGTAAGGAGTAAGTTAAAGAGTAAATCTTGATTTCAATGTTTGAAAATGTTGATTTATTGATAAAATGTATATATCGAGCAGCCCTAATTCTTTAAATGAAAAAGACTGGCAGCCTAAAATACTGTCCTTTGAAAATGGCCCTTTACTTCTTTATGATCCATGCACACCAGCCCCTATCATCAACTGAGTATCTTGCTGTTTAATGGATTAAAAACGGGATTAAGTCATTTATGTTATGTTATATTGCTTACCCTATCTGCATTCCATGCAGGATAGACAGGATATTCCTGTGCCTGGACAATCACGTAGGCAACCAACACAATCAGGAGTAACAGAGGACTGATCCACAGCCAGCATTGTCTCCAGAAAATGCTGGGTCTCGACCCAGTCATGAAATAAATATCTTCACTGAAACTGTCAATGGACAAGGGGACCAGAAAAACAATGACAGGATATATACAGTATATATATTTTACATAGATTTAATTGGACTACAGAGTTATACCAAACGCTTACTTTTTCATTCCATGGACATAAATGACTCCAATGAACTCAAAGAATGCAATGATGAGCAGAGGCACAGAGCCAACGTAGTTGTTGAACACCTCCACCCAGTAGTTTCCCGAACCGAGTGTGAAGATGAGAGCCGTTAGGAAGGATATCAAGCAGATTATCGCTGAGGAAGTGAGAAAAAAGCTCTTCAGATTCAAAGGGAAAAAAAACAAACGAATCATTTTGACTTCAGAACAACTTGAGCTGATTCGCAGGTACCTGTTACGACTTCATTAGGGATCCACTTTGGCAGTAGTTTGAGGTCATTGATGGGTGTGAGTACTCCCTCTATGTTTCCGAACATGGAGGAAAGGCCCAGGCTTAAGAGCATAATGAAGAATAACACAGCCCATACCTGTGAGCCTGGCATCTCTATGACGGCTTCAGTGAATAGAATAAAAGCTAGACCGGTACCTGATGCGGACTGGGGGAGGAAGATTCAAAAGAGGCAAGAGAGTAATGAGTAACGTTGCATGAACTGACAGTACATGTTTGACCTGCACACGATGTACTGAAATGAGAAAGTGGAGGCAAAAGCACGGAATGACCGCAAGATAAAGGGAGAGGGGAAAAAATGCGATCTACACGCTTTGATGTGTTTTTAAAATGACAATACCTGGCCAAGATATGTTTGCAGGTCACAGTGCCACAGGGGCAAGTTGGCAATCTCTTTTGGATATGTGCTATTTAAATGCTCGAACCACTGGTCGTAGGTCTCTAATGTTATGTTCTTGTCTGGAATCTCAAAGTGGTTGGTCAGAGTCAAGATGTTGCTGCAGAGGGAATACAAAAGATCAGCATTTTTGATATCAGCAAGAAAAAACAAAGTTTGAGATTTACGTAAAAAGGTTGTGCACACTTACTCCTGTTGACAAGAGTTGAAGGCAGTAGTTGCTTTGAATCCAAGGATGGCAAAGATGGAAATGGAGGCATAGAGAGAGGTGGCACTATTTATTATTCCAACCAAAAGAGCATCCCTCTCACAGTTGTTTCTAACCAATACATAAGAGGAAAAAAAAATAACTTTAAAAGTCATCACACAAATCATGTAAGTATTCCAGAGGGAGTATAGGCATCTTAGCCCCTACCTCTCTTCGTTATAGCTGGAGAAAGCGATGAGACCCCCAAAGGCTACAGAGAGAGAGAAGAAGATCTGGGTTGCAGCATCCAGCCACACGCGGGGATTTTTGAGTATATCCCACTACAAGAAGCACAAAAATCTGGATTTGGTACAAGATGCTGTCTTATATCACCCTTAGTCCCAATAATTGACTGAACTCACATTAGGAGTGAAGAGGTACACTAGTCCATCAATAGCTCCCGGCAGAGTGAGGCCACGGATTAGGAAAATAGTAAGCACCAGGTATGGGAAAGTGGCTGTAACGTACACAGCCTGAAACATACCAACATGGCGATTTATAAAAAAAAAAACACATTTTATTATTTTAAAATAAAGTCTACATCTTTCTTTAGCGATTTCAGAAGGTTGAACACACCTTTCCCATGGACTTGATCCCTTTGATAAGACAGATGTAGACCACGCACCAAGCACTGGCCAGACAGATGACCAGCCACCACTGAAGGGAACCACTGGTCTCGATGTTTGGTGTGATGTTCAAGGTCTCACGATACCAGAAGTAATTCACTGGACTGCTCCGCTGACATTCCACATTGTAGTCTTTATGGATGAAAACATGAGCAACACATTGTGACAACATGAGTGTAGTTCTATAAATTCTACAAAGATTCATTTGAATGCTGACTGTTAATTATTTCCATGAATTAGTTTGAAAACAAGGGGATTTTATTTGTGCTTGTCACAGATTGTGTGAGTGAATGTGTGCTTCAACACAACTTAAATGAAAGGCATGCTTATGTTAATACATTGTGTGCTGCAGTATCTCTCTCATTGAGCAATCCTGTAATTTTCCCATCAGAAATTCACCTGAGATGCCACATAGAGCTTGGTTGTAAACCACTCCTCTTTGTGACAGTTTTGCAACTTTATAGTTGTTAATTGAACACAAACTTCTCATACTTAAATTACTATACAGCACAATGGAGTTGTACATGTTGTAAACCTTGGCTCCTACCCTTGTTTTACTGCTGGTGGTTGAAATCACAGTGAGCGACAGTAAATGTATCAAGAGCGGCTGGTGTGTTTTTCTTGTTACCTGTTTGGTTATCATTGAGTGGACACTGGCTCCATGGCAAAGGGTTTTGGAAAGAATGGAAAAAGTACCAAAGCACCCACGCCAGGATGGTGTTGTAGAAAATACCCACCAGAAATGACACCAACATGGAGGCAATTCCTGCACCGAGAGGGGAAACATAGTCAAAAGAAATCTGGCGAATAAACATTTCAATAGAAATTCATTCAAATTCATGACCACACACCGACTCCACCCAGAAGTGGTGAGATGGAGTTCCAGACACCAATGCTGCCCTTGCGGAGTCGCTGTCCTATGGCCAACTCCAGGTAGAGCAATGGGAGGCCCTCAAACACCAGCGCTATCAGGTAGGGGATGAGGAATGCACCTGAAGACACAAATTAAACATTGACTGTACCTCCCAGTGAGACATAGACCAGATTAGACGGTGTTTACTCAAGTTGCAATAAGCACAAGTTCTTCCACCCATCCATCCATCTTAAAAATTAGTTAAAACAACCACTTAAAGAGTAACTAAACCCTAAAACCACTTTTTTTTAACTATAAACCTCTGTATTTGAGTATTAAGTAGTGTTATGGCTCAATCCAAGTCCCAATCTCGACATTTGAGTACAAAGTATTGAAATTTGAAATATTGTGTTAGAAATGTGCATAGTGTCTGCCCTTCAGTTTGAAACACTCTAACGGCTGTGTAGCGTACAGTATGACGTAGGAGTGCAGCCCCACGTCACCAAACCTATAAAAGCCTCGTCACCCGACTCGGCGAACTGTGGTGTGGGGAGTCAAGTGTGTGTGCGCTGATAACGGCGCGAAAGGAGTGAGTGGGGGAGTCCCCCCCCCCCCCTTTCTCCAAGTTGGTACATTGACATTCTAAATGCATTTTTTTAAAATTCCAGGGTAGAGCACTACAACTGAAAATATGGGGTTTAGTTACCCTCAATTAACTCAGATAACAAAGATCCAGGACTGTAGGGAACTAAGCCGAGGTCAAACAGAGGCTATGCTGAGGGTAACAACCTGTCGGAATCAGGAATCTAGGACTTAATATGTCATGTTGACACACCGTTTGCACATTTAGAGCTTTAGCTGTTGACTTAACCCTGATCCAGGTTAGGTGTCTGTGTTTTTGTGACTTTTGGATATCTTACTGGAAACTATGAGGAAGTAAATACAAGAAGTGTGGCTGTTGAACAAAAAACGTCCATCATTGATTTCCACTGTAATCCATGAAATACAGATAAGGCTCACCATTTCCAGCACAGTGACTATGACTGGCTTAGTTCATTTGTTAATGCTTAAACTTTGACAAGTGGTTTTGCAATTACATTTCGGATAAGATTGAAGTATCTCATGACTCCATATAGAAGACAGAAAAAATAAGACTTACAGTGAAAACTACTAAACCGATCAACTTCAATTAAACTACGGGAAACATAACGCGGCTCATATAAAAGCATAATAAAATAGCATCTCACCTCCTCCATAGATTTGGCACAGGTAAGGAAAACGCCAGACATTTCCAAGTCCCACTGCAAAGCCAATACACGTCAACATGTACTGAACCTTGTTGTCCCACTTGGGTCTCTCCTCCACCTTAGAGTCTTTAGTTTTTGCCATTCCAACCAAATAAAAGGTCTTGGTTCTTTTACAAGGATGCAGCTAATGATCCTGATAAGTAGTATTATTTCAGTCTAGTCCTGAGTTCCCTAACTACCTAAGCTGAGTTTATAAATAAGAGCTGCCTTAAACGGTTTAGTCTTTGTGATGTCCAGTTCTCCTCTTTCATCCTCTTTTCCCCTTTTTTTGTGGGCTGTCCTTTAACATCCAATGGGATGCAGCTTCTAGTCAGAGATACTGATTTTATGTGTGTGTCCCCACACCCCCACCACACAAAAAAAAGAAACCAGGCCACCAAGAAGGGAGTGAAAACTTCACCCACGATAATTTAGTGATAAAACCTCCCTGCTCATTTAAAATGGGAGTGTCATATGACTTACATAATGGATAACAGTGTGATGTTTCAGTGTTACAAAGACCTAAAGAACTTTTCAGATGTTGATAGAACTACAACCATACAAGTTTATAGTTTGTTCTTTGCAATTTAACATAGAGTGTATTTGAGATAGTGAGAAGAACACACTTCAAAGAAACAGTAAATGCAGGCAGGAAAGTTTTTCTTTACATTGATTCCAGAAAGTCTAATCAGATTTTTTTTAATCTTTGTGTAAATTCAAATTACAGTAAAATGTGTGGTTGTTATTGTCAATGATTATAGAAAAATATTATGAATTAAATTGAAATCTGTTGCTGTATTTTTGTTGCTTTTGTGATAGGTGGAATTTATCACCAAAATAAAAATGATCAGTAGTAAAAAAAAATCAATAAATAAGAAAAAAGACAAAAAAAATAGTTGCAGAAACAAAAAAGCAAAGTCTTTATAAAATGTGTCATTGAAACAATTGTTAAAATGTATGAAAGGTTAAACATGTTTAAAGGGATACTTCACCCATTTGCATTAAGCTTTGTATCATTAGAAACCTGGTAGTATCTTTGAATGGTCGTGCATCCCGTCCTCATTTTCCCCTGAGATGGGAAATCTTTGTATTTCTAAGTCTGAAAAGGAGCTTCCAGTGATGCAAAATGACGATTTTGCGTCGCTGGAAGCTGTTGCGGATAGCAGGGTGAAACTACAACGTTAGTTCCTCATATTTTCGACCACTGAAGCTACAGACCAATCACAGATCAGTGGGTGGGAACTCCCAGAATCGAAACGCCATATTGCTTGGAAGCTATGCTAACAGGCTCTATGGAGAAAGCTGATAATGGCGAAAAAATATAAATATAGCGGCGAGATGGCTGCTTGCTGGGAGCCCCGCCGCAAGCCCGGCCCCCGGAAGCTCAGCCGCCGCGAGCCCGGCCGCAGGGAGCCCCGCCTCCGCAAGCCCGGAGGCCGGGCTCCGCGACACAAGACAGGCCTGTTGGCAGCAACCGTCTCGCGGCTATATTGCTATATTGCCGCCACTGGCCGCTGCTAGATCATCAGCAGAGACACAAGGCCTGCCTGTCGGTGGCGGTGAGGACGAGAAGCCGGGGCCGGCTCGAGCTGGGGCGGACTGGTAGTGTCTGTGCGCTCACTGTTTGCCTATGGACACAGACATAGAGTCTGTTTTCTGCCAGGAATTTCCAAGATCAATTCTGGAAGAAATTTTGGAATCAGTTGAGGAAACAGCCTCATGTGTTGAAGTAAATATGTCTGTAAATGTTTTTAGGACTATATTTCTACTGCTATATTGTGTATTTTGGAGAAACTGTATCAATCGAATTTCCCTCTGGGATTAATAAAGTATTTCTGATTCTGAACTAGAGGACCTTAGTGGGAGTGGCCTGTGATGCTGTGCATTCTGGGATTTGGTGTCTTTCATCAACATAAGCCAAAAAGACACTTTCTGCCTTTTCTCGGCCAAGAAGTAGGCACCAACTTCAAAATTTATTTCACATTTCTACTACATATATGACCCAATGTCAATACAGATTCATGTTTTAACAGGTGAAGTATCCCTTTAATAAATGTTCTGTTGAAGAAGTCAAAACACTTTTTCAGGTTAATCACTCTGTACATGTAAGTTTACCTTCCTGGTACAGTTGTACAGTATGATTTACAGTTGCCTACCAGGAAAGTCTTATCAGAGATGATGCTGGTAAATGACTATCATTGCTGTTGAGGCCAGAAGGGAGCGTTCTCTTGGTATTTCCTTCTTGATGAAGCTGTCTGATAGGAAGGATTGTCTGTCTTTGTTGATATTCCCCTTATTCAGGTGAAAAAAAAAGAGAATATTGAATGCATTTTTTTGTAAGTATTCTAAGATGTTCTGTTATGTTTTGTAAATATGCTGACCAAATTTGAAATGGCTTTGAAGATTTTTTGATTTTGTTAGTGCAAATTGATGCTAGTTTAGCTCCATTTGGTCTGCTACCTACATGGTAGCCTACCACGAGGTCAGTGTAAGCGCAAGTCATAGGTTGTGTCCAAAACTTCAAACTAATGTACTGCTTACTACATACTCAACTGTATAAATTGCATATTGCATGCTGCATAGCAACCTGACAGTTAGTATGACATGCATACAACATACTAAATCACATCCTGTCCTCTCAATGTCACAAGTCTCTGTCAATCAGGTAATTCGGGTCTGACCTTTGTTAAATTAGCTAGCACTAAGCTAGCTTCACCATTGTGCTGCATAATATAATTTAACAACAATAAAAACATGTTCAGTAGGTTAGACAGCTCCTTAGTTATCTGAAGATGTTTCTTTACCACAGCGGTTATTTTATTGTTAGCGGCATGTTGGCTGGCTGGCTGAAAAACTGCAATGCATTGTGGGGTGGTTTAGTATGACCAGTATGCTCCCATATGATATTTAAAAATTGAGCATTATCATAATCTTTCAAGGTTCAAGTGTTTAAGGTTGTCTTTATTATTCCTGCGAGAGGGCGATTTGTTTTGCAGTCAGCAGTAAAATACATACATAGGCCTACATACAGCCCACGATCACCATACAACATAGAATGGACAATAAATAAATACAATAGATAAGAAACTTTATCATCGATTGTAATGCCTATTTCCCAACTTCAAATGAGCTGATGAATTTGCTAGGATCCCTTAAGTATTAAAAGAGGATACATAGACTTCTGAACCCGATGAGTGCAAGAACACCAGGGTCTGCCAACACTGTGCAGTAAACATTGTGTTTTTGACTAGCAAACATAAATTGAAAATCAACCGTTCAATATTTGTACATTTCTTCAAGAATCCAGCTAATTAAATAATCAATTTCCTTGTGCAAACATTAATAAGAATAAAATGTAATTGCCTTTCATATCATATCTGGGACTCTCAAACAAAACTGTTCATAAGGAAGCAGCTGAATGTCAACATTAGCTGTGTTGTGATGGTAACCAATGATCGCGCGAAGCCGCGTTTCCACGGACTTTGAATTTTTGCACATAGATGTGCCTAAACATGCACAGGACACTTGGAAAAAACATTAAAGAGCATATAAAACCAGAAAAAGCATAATATGACCCCTTTAAGGGTTATTGAATATTTATCTTAACTTATACAATATGGCCTCTCCGTATTTTCAATATACGTACATTGTTTCTGTAGTTTCTTATCGCTCGGGAAGCTACATAAGGAAATATTTACTCAGATTTGTAACATTTACAACCTGGAATTTAACAGATGTTATAACAACATTTTAGTTTGAGCATGACGTCACTACAACATAGCTGCCTTGGGAATATGGTCTAATCCAGGGGTGGGCAACTGCCGGCCTGGGGGCCACATGAGGCCCCCATCAACCCTCAATGTGGCCCTCAGGTCAATTTTTACATATCAATTAATTGGAAACATGAAGAAAACATGACAAAATCTGCCATGAAATCATGAAAACCAGATATATGTCCATAATAATATTTGATCACTGGTACATGTTGAGTTGAATTTAAGACATATTTGACTGTTATTGTTTTTGTATCCTACAATTTGACCAAAGTTGCCCATCCCTGGTCTAATCAGTAAGTCGCACATAAATGATGAGACTGCATTCATGTATTTGTTTTTATGTTTATTATTAACCTGTAAAAGAAAAGAAAAGTAAATGAAAACTATGTTATACATTTGACCTTTGACAGAAGGTTGGCGGTTCGATCCCTAGCTTCTACAGCCACTTGTTGATGTGTTCTTGGGCAAGAAACTAAACTCCGAGTTGCTCCCGCGCTTTCGTCAGCGGCGTATGAATGTGTATGAATGGATTAGTTACTTCTGATGGACACTTTACATAGAAACCTCTACCATCAGTGTGTGAACGGATAGGTGTGAGATGCTGTTGAAAGGCGCTTCGAGTAGTCAGAAGACTAGAAAAACGCTTTATAAGCTCAAGTCCATATAAGGAAATGCACATCGATGCAAAATATTCTAACCTGAAAGACATTTTGTAAGTATGAAAACAATTGAAAGAAGAAAAATAAATTCACGATGAAGCTGTCAGGGAGGTAGCATCGTGAGCATTTTTATTGATATTCCCCTTTTTCAGAATGAACACTTTTATTTATTTCTCAATTGATCAACAAACTCTTCAGTAATGTTTTATATTGATGTTACTACAAGAAAGCCTTACAGGAATTATTTGACCCTAAAATTATGCATGGTCTAGTGGGATAAGTAAAGTGTAGCAGGATATGTTTTGTCAGGTTCTATCTGTTTGGGCCTCCTGCTACTGATTAACAATCCCACTTTGAGGCGTTTGAGAGAGAAATGATGTAGATATTTGAAAAATTAAAACATTGTAAGCGTTATGCTTATACTGAACAATGAAATTCATGCCTTTACGTTTCAGTCAGAATCATTCTTTTTAATGTTATGAATCGGATGCAATCACAGGGATGGTCGGTGGGTTTTTCCTATTGTTTCATGCCTCTGGTGTTCCCTCAGATGCTCCACTCCAAAGCCATGCAGGTAAGATGAGTGTCTAATTTTTTTCTATACATGTAAGTGATGCCTTCCAACATTTGTTGGGCCTCTGATCTATGAAATTCTATTTATTAAATGCCTGAAAAATAAACTCATTCAGTTATATCAACATTATCATTGATTCGTCTTTACTCTCAGATACTATTTCAAAACGTTGTCTGTTTCTGCCACCTACTGGTGTTGTATTGACTTGGAGTTCTCCTTTTTGAGAGAGGAGCGTTGATGAGGGTTCAGTGTTGGTGCAGGTCTAAATCTAGGATTTCTTCATCTTAAAGGTTTTATAAAATACATGATACTTCACATGCCTTGTACAGTAGGGTTTACAATTATAAGGACACTTAGGACAGCAAAGCTAAAACAGTTGCTCCAGTACTAAACGGAATCACCTTAAGACTTTTTTTTGTGGTTTTAGAAAATCTTTATAGAACAGTATCCAGATCTGATGAAGCTGCATTGGATTTTTGTTGTCTCGTTTTTTTTTTTATAAGCAATGTCTGCATATATTGAAAGTCACACTGATATTTCTCAAGAAATGACTAGCTGCAGTGTAAATATCTGAGTGTGTAAGCAACATTTCTGGCCTGGTAAAACCACACAACCTCGTCTGGAGCTATAGGGTTTATTTTCAATGTAACCTCTAGTAGAGAGATGATCAACAAAAGTGAAGCTTGAGCCAGTAAGGCAGTTAGTGTGGCACAAACACTAGAAGAAGAGGAGAGAGCTGGATACGAGCAACACTTCTACACATAAGAAATCAACACGTTGCATGTTTTTTTTAATCAATACAAATTCCCATATCACTTGCATGAAATTTTTTCCACCCAATATGTTGTGCTGAAAAAACTACAAATCCCACTGTTGCATCCATCAAAGTGCTCTGTGGATGGAAAGTATAGCAGCAACTTGAGTTACGAGAACATTAAATCGACTGAAGAGACAGCACACAATGTGTACGAGTCTGGTACGCTGGTTCTGGGTCAGAAAACAGTCCTAAAGCAACATTTTTTTTAAACAGACATACATATTTCCTTATCACTTGCATGAAATATTTCCCACCCAATATGTTGTGCTCTGTTAGAATTGATCTCCTGGCTTTAATGACTTTGTGCATGGTTACATACGCTCAATGAAAACAACCGAGAATCAATTTAAACAAAAACATTTAATATTAACAACCAAGCTACATTGATATAAAATATGACTTGTCAATAACTCCAGTATAGACTAAAACTAGAAAACAGTCTTGAAATACACAAAACAAATTCATCAGAGTTTAACAATGAAATTACACACAGTATCGATAAAAGGAACGTGTGCATCAATTCAATTAAACATTCCCTGAGAAGTAGTATGGACTTCAGAATAAAAAACACTCTTTTGTAGTAATTGAGGGCCCATTCAGGTTCATTTTTAAATACGCAAAATTAATCATTTATAAAAACACATGAAAAATAAACTTTTAAAGGGGAAAATGGAGAAATAATGTCGGAATGTCTGGTGAAAGATCAATGCACATCCAAGTGGGTGTAGAGAAGATTCGTCCATGCATTTTTAAAAACCTCTCAGACTATGAGTTGCATGAGGATGTATCAGAAAGAATTGGACTGTTGGTATGTATTGAGTAGCTTTGTTTCTGCTCTTTGGTAGCTTGTCACAAAGGCACAGTGGCTGACTACTATCTCATACACATACATAAGAAAATACTACCGCATACTACTCTTGATAAGTATCACCAATTTTTTTAAAAATCACAACGTTTCAGTCTCTCTGAACCGTTGTCAAGTGTGTTCAGAGGGACTGAAAAGTTGTGATTTATCTTTTCAAGTAATACATTTCATACTTTAAAAAATGTGAAAGTCAATGTCTGTCTTATATGCAAATGCAGGCAAGTAACCAGGAGCCTCCAGTATGGAGGAGAGCAGACCAGCAGAGAGCAGGGAGACGGGCTTGATCATAAAAGTAATAGTTTGTCACTCTCCGCACCTACTTTATGAATAGTTGGATGTGCGAAAACCTTCTTGAAAAGTATAAAATGTAGCCTGCCCAGATGGACAAACAAAGCTTAAGAAGAATGGGATATATAAAAAAAAACATATTTTTAAAAAGTGGAGATTTATATATCCTAGAATTTGAGTTCTTCATTAAAGATTTTTTATAATTGATTTAAGGAATTTGTCTAATTGTTCCCCTGGATTCTGTTTTTGCAGCTCACATAGACCAGCCTACAAAGTGCATACCCAGGCATTACCAGACTGGGGACTCCTGCCAAAAGAAAGATAGCAGCATTGATCCACGAAGGGTAAGGTACTGATGCCAGAGCTGGAAACTTCTCCTGTTAAACAAAAAGACCATGTTATTTATCTCCACTGTATGCTTTAATATCAACAATTACTAAAATGTTTTTTATATGAACACAGATTCATTCAGTGGGCTTGTGAACTCACAGATTCTGGATCCCAGACTAAGTAAGTGAGCTCTTCTTGGCCTAGAGTAACCAGGTAGAAAGCTAAAATAACCACAACGATCAGAGGGCTCGTGAACCTCAGTGAAGCCTGCCAGAAGAAGGAGGGTTTATAACCAATCATGAACTCTACGTCTTCATTAAACCTGCCACACAAGAAGGTTTGATTTAGGTTAGAGTACACTCTTTGACTTTTTAGAAAAGTACCTGTCATCTATTTTACAGAGACAACTTGACACACATAGGGGACAGAAATATAGTTAATAATAAAAATACAATAAGCTTATTAAATGATACACCTTCACCTTCCTTCACAAGACAATATCAAATCCTAGGCTACAATTAAGAGATGATTCATTCAAATCTATATTGCTTCATAAAAAAACTAGGCCCCCTGTACAAACATTTGAACGTTGTGTATATAAAAGTGAAACGTTATCTTATAGGTAGATCTCACTTTATGTGCTTTGAAAGCTACTGTTTACAATTAAGACCAAAGATTTGATTCCCCAAGGAAGCGCCGATTAAAGCCATTTTAACTAACTGTACGGTGTTCTAAGTCCTTGTCTCAAGCTGCATTGTTGTGTTAGCAGCACTGATGGTAGCGTTCTTTAGTTTGCTTGTAGCTGCACATTGTATGTAAATTTACATGGAATGACCATATGTGTAAAATGTTGCAAATTTCTGCCTTTAATATTCGGTCTGCTTGTGCTGCTTTTTGATAATGCTTGAGCAGCTCAGCAAAAGTTTTGCCACACCACATCACCAGCTGAGATTTGTTTGATGCTTTTGTACTTAATCTCTTTTCTACAAAGTGTACAGAAGGGCAGACTTTTAGAAAGTTGTCTTCCCCTCATTTTAGGTCCACATGACAACTGTTAATCGCCTCCCATAAGGCACTTGTTGTTTTCTGCTTGTAAGTCATCTACTACTAACTGCCAAGCGAAATGGCTAACATGGTTCTTGAGAGAAGTAAAAGGTCAATGTAAGAGTCTTGCTAGACTGAGGACTGAGCATAGTATGAATGTTACGCACACTGAATTATGACAATGTGGGGGGCACCAATGTAATAATATAACTGATAACCAATAATCACAGGCATAGTCTTAGCTACTAAAATACCCAGGGTGCCACATTAACAACAAAGCAAAACCTAAGTGGGGCACCGGTTCAACTCAGTGAATAGAGTTTAAGCAGAAGCTGTAGTCCATTCTGACCCATGACCGGTTTGTATAACATTATTACCCACCAGCTCTCTGCGGACCGTTCCAGTTAGATCTTTACATTTTTAAGAATCTAAGAATCTTTACACCAATAACATTTAATATTTATATCAATAACAGTTGACCTTGAACAAAAGTATTTAGGCAAAAAAACACACACAAAACAACACCACATTAGACAAAAACAGTGTCCTTACTCACCTGTCCATGCCGTAGATGTAAGCAACAGCTATCATCTCAAACAATCCAATAGTCAGAAGTGGAACAGATCCAGCAAAGTTGTCAAAGAGAGTTACCCAATATAGCCCTGAATGCTGAGCAAACAGGAGGGAGATGATGAAGGCGATAAAACATGTTAATCCTGAAACACAGATGAACACGAACTAGTTAAAGTACAAATTCAGAAATCTGGTAACTACTTAAGGTTGCAGAGTCACTGTGGAAAGTATTTTAACTACAATAACTTAATACCAGTTAGTGCTTCTTGTGGCCATTTTTGGGGTAACAATTTCAGGTCTTTCAGTGGGACAACAACCCCCTCAATGTTGCCGAAAAGGCTTGAGACTCCCAAGCAGAAAAGCATGATGAAGAAGAGGACAGACCAAACCGGAGAACCAGGCATCTTGGTGATGGCTTCTGTAAACACAATGAAGGCCAGACCTGTTCCCTCTACTCCCTGGAAAAGCATTTGATGAACAAAATACAGATTATCAATAAATCGATCAATCAATCAATCAACCAACCAATCAATCAATCAATCAATCAATCAATCAATCAATCAATCAATCAATCAATCAATCAATCAACCAAACAACCAATCAATCAATCAATCAATCAATCAATCAATCAATCAATCAAATGTTTTCTCAAGACACTTTACAAAAAGTAGGTAAAAGTTGTTATATTATAAGACCCAACATGAATCCATCATGAGCACTAAGCAACATTTAGCAAAGTTACAGTGGCAAGGAAGAACTTCCTTTTAAGAGGCAGAAACCTTGAACAGAACCAGACTCATGCAAAAACAGCAACGAATAAGATACGAATAATTACAGAGGTCGAAGTTGAGCAGCTCTATTAGATTCACTTTAATATTGAGATTAATGATAATAGATGTATATATATCAATAGTTGTAGCTCTTAGAATAAAGATTAGATGTAATAGCTTTGGAATGTGATAGATATTCATCAATTCGGTCACCTCACTGAGAAGTTTCTGCATGTCACAGGGTTTGATGTCCAATCCAAGAACAGTATCCGGATTGGAGCTGTTGTAACAAGTAAAGGCTGCCTCATAGTTGCTGGTAGTGATGCTGTCTTCAGGAAGGTCAAATGCATTTAATAATGTCAGGATGTTACTGGGGAAAAAAGTATGTCAGGATTCAGAAACATTGCTTTCATCACTCACATGACTGTACCCATTGAACATTCTATGTTCTGTTAAAAGAAAAAGTACAAGAAAGATAGTCAATCTTGGTCCTAGTGTAAGTATAGAAACCTGCCTCCACTCCCTTTTTGGTAAAGCTGGTGCATTTCTCTCTTTTATAATTGTCTCTTTCAAATTTAAGAGACTTTATTCATCCAAAAAAGTCCCTTTAAGCATTTAGTATATAGAAATAATACGGATTAGATTCAGTGAAAGTGTAATTTATAATGAACTTTATGGCGGTATTTTGATGTCAACTTTTTGAACCCCTTAAAGGCAGTGTTGGTAATTTTCTAAAGATACACTTTATAAGATTTTGGTTGAAATTGTATTTAGGTCCTGACAGGCATTAATAATTCATGAGCTCTGAAAAAGGAGGGAAGAAAATCAGTCATCTGTAGCAGTTGTAAGCCTGTAAAAACAAGGTACCGATTTGATGAACCAATCACACCTCCCTGTCTCCCTGCTCGTTCTCTACCCCATGCATGCACGAGCCCACACTCAAAGCATGAGCTGAGGTGGACCAATGGCACTTGTGCATGTAAGTGAGGGGCCAAAAGTGAGGCTTTGGAGGGAGCACAGAGGGGAGGGGGTGGGTGCAGACGGAGAAATTCAGTATGCATATAACCGCTAGGTGCAGTGCAGAGTTGTATGGTGATGAGACCAGAAATGACAACTTTGGAGACACCAGAGAGCCGCTACAACAGTTGCGGAAAGTTTTAAAAGAAGTCCTCAACTACCCCGCGCTATGATGTGTCATTGCTGTTGCATAGCATCCAAAAATGCATGCTAAAATAGCTGGCAACAGATCATCTCTACTTCGTTGTTTTACGCCGTCTGAATTGTGTCGTGCTCTCTCCAGAGGAATCCCCCAGTAACACGTGTTTTACAAAGGCAAGCATATGAACATTTACGTTTATGACGCAGCAAGTTGTCTACGGTTCAAAAGCAAGTATATTTGAGCCCTTACTGTTCAAGAGGACCTGTTTTTATGAAGCATGAGGGGTAAGAAGAAAAATAAGGGGAAAAAAAAGGTTGATCAGTATTGTTGCAAAAATATAGAAACCTGCATATACTTACTTGCTGATACAGTTGTCATATCTCTCGGTGGCTCTGAAGCCAACAATGGTGTAGGTGACTGTGGCAGCATAGACTGAAGTGAAGCCAGTTACACCTGTCAGGATCATTGCGTCTTTCATACAGTTGTTGCTATGACAAGAACAAATGTAAAAGTTCAGGACACAGCATAGCTAAGAATAGTTTATATATTTCATTCAATTCAAGTGATCTAAATAAGAATTTAGCTGCTTAGTATTTTTTTTGATAAGTGTCTCTTACTGAATAGGGTTGTAACTTGAGAACGAGATGAGGCCTCCCCATGCTAAGCTGAAGGCGTAAAACACTTGGGCACCTGCGTTCAGCCAAGTTGTTGGATTTGCCAATTCATTAACCTGCATGGGGAGGTACAAATTGTAATGTCTCTGTGTATAAATAGCAGATAAAACATTGTCTTTATTTTTATCATAGCATACATCAGGTGTAAAGAGGTGCTTTATTCCAGTAAAGGCGCCTTTAAGAGTCAGTCCTCGGATCAGGAAGATGGCCAGCACTATGTAAGGCAGGATGGCTGTGACGTACACCGCCTGAGGTCATGAAAGGAAAGAAGATCGCTTAATGATTTTACAGCTGTGATGCAATAATGCAAGTTGTTTGATTGACAGTTTGACAAACCTTGCCTGAGGTGCTGATCCCCCGTATGTAACAGATACAAATGACTGTCCAGGCAGCTAGCAGGCAGACTACGATGGGCCAGTGAATCCCACCAGATTCAACGATAGAGGTCGAACTATTTAGAGTTACTCTGTAAAAGTAGTAATCCGTAGTTGAGCTACGTTGACACTCTGGTACAAAGCCTGTAGGGGCAAATGTTTTCATCATGAATGAAGTTTGGATAGTATGCTGTGCGTAAGTATCCCTGTGATTAATTTCAAATACCTGTCCCATTGTCATTGAGGGGGCACTGGGACCAAGGCAGCGGGCTTTGAAAGGAATTGAAGAGATACCACATGATCCAGGCTATTAAGGTGTTGTAGTACAGTCCAATCAATAACGACACCAGCATGGAGGCTATACCTGTGTATGACAGAATAATTAACAGTTTCACAGTCAGGAGGAGGCAATTATTTATGTTAAGCTTTATGAGGTCTTAATGCTGATAACATTTGAATCTTTGGATCTTTTTTAGTCTCTTTTTACAGATTGATTTTGCTGTCAATGTTGTTTCGTCTTTGCCTTGTGTAAAATGTTCTAGATCCTATTTTGCTTACCTATACCAGTCAAATAGGGATTGATGGCCCTCCAAACTCCCACACTGCCTTTTCTGAGTCGCTGGCCAATGGCAAACTCGAGCAGGAGGAGAGGCATTCCTTCCAGCACCAGAAGGATCAAGTATGGAATCAAAAAAGCACCTGGAAAATGTATGGTTAATAGCCTAATCATACATATACATCGACTCATTATGCCATTAACCAGCCTCGTCTGTTATTAAAATGCTTTGCAAGCACTCTAATCTTTAATCTAGGCAGTAAATCTGTCCCACAGGTCAACTCAACCTAATACTAATAAAAACTTGTAATGACCACTTCTTCTGTGCCTGCCTGCCCCTGCTGAATTTGCACTGTGTGCATTTTTCCTAGTAGAACATGCGTTGCAAGATGAAAATGTGTACTCACAGCATGGACATTTGTTCATGTAATATAGCAGTAAGTTCTCCACATCCTAGTTTATTTTAATTGTCTGACCCACAGCTGACCCATTACCCCTTTTAAGTTATTTATTTAAGGCCATTTTTGCCTTTATTGGACAGGACAGCAGAAGAGATACAGGAAATGTTTGGATGAGAGAGTAGGGGATAACATGCAGCAAATGGACTAGGTTGGATTGGAACCCATAGTCCAAAGAGGACTATAGGCTCTGTACATGGAGCGTACAACATAACCACTAGGCTATCGGACACCCCAGTGACTGTGAACCTTGATCTCGAAATTGAAAACAAATGCTCTTTTGGAAGCATGCTATACTTTGCTTCATCCAACACTGGCCCAGTGTCAGCTGTAAGAGGCATTAACATCCCTGTATGATCAATGTATGGTTTCATTTTCTTTTGTAGCTCATGTAGAAGGGTTTGCTTTAATTTTCAGTCTTTTTTATGTAGTAAAAACAGTTTTAAGTTAGTATAAGGTGATTGTGGCAAAAGGGCTTGAACAGTGAGTTGACAATTGTCCAGATTCAGTAGTTCGCCCTAGAACACTATCTCTCTCTGGGTGATTCAGTTTACAGTATGTTAAATGCTTATGACTCACTTGAAACAAAATTCAGGTAATTTCTTGCACAATGGGACAGGTTAGTGAGTAGGTCACTGTTTAGTTATCTAATAACAGTCATGGTCTTTTTTCTACTAATTCTGCAAGGTTCATACAAGTCCCTCCTGGTAGGGCAGTTCAATACCAAAACTACATTATCATTTCTAAAAGGCCATTCAAGAATGAACAGACTTACCTCCTCCATGACTTTGACACAGGTAAGGAAATCGCCAGACATTGCCAATTCCAACGCAAAAGCCCACACAGGTTAGGATGTACTGGGCTTTGTTGTCCCACTTGGGCCTGTCTCCTCCTTCCTCCTTGTCCATTCTCTTCAGATCTTCAAAGGAAGGGATCCTATCATCCAGACCGGGGTTAGGAAGTACAAGTCTCATTGTGCCCCAACAGAATCAGAGATCTTACTCTATTGTTCTTGGAAGTCAAAGTGAGGGCTTATGTGCAGCCGGCAACGTCTTAACAGGTTTATGGTCCTTTTCTTTATCTTGTTCCTTGAGAAGATTAGCCATCGCATACTCCATTCAGTCATTCAGTCATACAATTTATTAAACTTTCAGCATAATAAACAGTGGCTTGATAAAAAGCAACCTCCCCTGAGTGAAGACACAGGGTTTGAATCTTCTGGTCTCGGAGTAATTGACCTTTTGCCCAATTTGAAACCAACTCTTCCATGCAGTTGCCATATTATTGTTTGACCCTGAGTCTGATAATGGGGTAGATAACCACTGCAGTGTACATTGAGGTGCTGTTATTTATGGCTCCTGCTCACATTAGTTGTTAAATAAAATTATGAACAACAGTGATCACATGAAGAGAACTGCTGAATAGAAATCACAGCTGTGGTTGCTATTTGAGTAGACATGTATCTCGAGAACCAGATGAAACCTCCAAAAAGGCCATGGATTAAAAAAAACATCTGTGAACAGTCCAGGTACATCACTCTACTTGCTGTTGACACTTTGAAATTGGTTTTAAGCCTGCTGTGCTTTCTTTCTTTCAGATTTAAATGCCTGACTCTACAAGTAAAAACATTTTAAAAAATTCAAAAGTACATCTCCTTCACTTATGAAAGTCAGTCTGTCATTCAAGCAGCCTGTACAATTCTAGCTATTACTGTGCCATGCAAAGGGTTGGTAATATACTCCGTAACTTTGCCATCATCATCCTGGATCCCACCACCTCCACAGATACAAGGGGGCAACCCAAAATAATAGAATAGAGGAAAAAACAGCAATGAGCAAGCTGATATAACAAGCCACCACTAGTGGAGAGCTATCTGAAGATAATAGACAATATATATAGGGAAATAAGGATAGGCGGAGGGCTTCCAGTAGGGTAGGCAAGAGGGACATATGAGACACTTCGCACACATGACATCCCATATGTGCAAAACAAGTAGTATTACTGTTGAGCTATACTCTAGTTTGTTCTTCACACAAACTTATTTTGGGCTGTAAATCGTATTCTAAGAAGATAATTTGGAAATGGGTAGAAGTACCCACTATCTTAGCCTACAATGAACATTGTTGTGGTCATGACATCCCTTTAGGTTAAAAAGTAAGAATATTTATTTCGGATCATATTCTAAAATTAAAATTAGCTGTTGTCCGAGAAACTGTAGTATGTATTTAACATACTGTGTTTTTATCAATTATCAATTGTACTTACTCTTTAAAGATGACCTTTAGGGCGCAATAACACTAGATAATCCATACTGTGCCCAAGCACGCTTCACCCTCAAAGTCATGTTTGGTTGACTAGTGTGAGTGCTCCGTTCACTTCCTTGGCCCTGGCACGATTGGAAGAGGTGTTCTTCGACATGATACAGTTCATGCATGAGCACAAGTACGGACATGAAAAGTGGACAGCCTACCAATTTGGAGAAATCCCGGAGTGTTATGGCTGTATCTGACTAATGTGACTCAAAGTGAGCCACAAAGTTTCAATCTTGTTCTCTGTGTTGTACTCCAATCAGTGGACACTGACTCAACCTCGCGTCCATTTTTCATTTTTCGAGTCTGCTTGTCTTGTAAACTAAGCAGCCTTCATGTTCACCCAAAGCCATGCATGTGTTTTATTGCGACGTTATGTACGAGAGGTAACCGTGCTCAGGCCCAGTTGGTGCTGGTGCAGTGCATGCCAGGAAGGCAATGGGGAGGGGGGACAATCATACTTCAGCATGGTACAGGACAACTGGGCCTAGTGTGAGTGCGCTTTAAGAGGAAGTTTAAAAATAATAATACAGGATTCATTCATAAAAGACAATATCAAATTGGCAGGTTTTTCATTTGTAGATTTCTCTTAATATATGTGTTAACCATAATAGGATAACAGTCTAGTAAGTGCACCAAATGATAGAGGTACAAAGTATTTAGACATGGTAATGGTACAAAGAAGAAGACAAACTTTTAATACATTTACTTTGTCAAACCACATGTGCTGTGGCTGGTTAAAAAGTTGAATCTTACACTGGGTTTTTGTTCTCCAAACAAGTTGTGTTTTCTTTTAATTTTGTGAATTAAATTAATAATGTGAAAGGGGTATTCTGCATCCTCAGCCTGGTTTCTGTTGCAGAACTACTTGAAACTTACATGTTTTTAATCTAAAATGATAGGCTGCTTAAACTACTGACTCCCAGATTTGACTTATATATGGTTATCTTTTCATAGAAATGTTAGTATTTCCTGAGTAGAAAATAAACATTAACAGATACAAGCTCCTAGGTTGCCAGATATTGATGTAAAGTTTTGTGTTAATGTGGACCAACGGTTCCATAGGCCTCTGCCTTTGGCAACATTTTCTAGATCATATTTTGCTTCCCAGTCAAATAAGGGTTAATGGCTCTCCAAACTCCCACACTGCCTTTCCTGAGACGCTGGCCAATAACAAACTCCATCAGCAAGAGAGGCATTCCTTCCAGGACTAGCAGGATCAAGTAGAGAATCATAAATGCACCTGAAAGTTAATTAACAGTAGCATGACATTGTGTCCAAATATGAAAATAAGGGTAAATAAAACATGGATGTTGAATTTATAGTCTCAGCTGCAAATGAATATTTATAATGAAAATCAAGCTTTTGAAGATGGCCAAACAGGCTGCCACTACCCAAACGACTTCCATAATGAGAAATGGGTAAAAAATTACCCATTGAGAGGAAGGACATAAACTAGTAGATGGCAGGTCCTGAGATACCAAGCTCAGAGAATGTAGATAGGAGGATTTGATGGTTCAATATTTCAAAGGCAGATGACAAATCTAGCAGCAATAAAGATGAGCTCTTGCCAAACTCAGTTATTCAATCACTGACATGAGTACAGTCTAAGTACAGTCCTTTATATATATATATTATCATTTATAGTCCCATTTTCTGAGAATATATTTTTGTAAGACTTAAATGTCTGTAGAGTTCCGATGTTTGAATGATGAGACACTTTGAATAATTTATGTTTCCTTAAAGACCTGTCATGATTTGACTATAGTGGTATGAAAGTCATTATTCATTAATCAAGATACAGATACATCATATACCTGTCAAATGGACGGGTGTACCAAGTGTTTGCTTATCAATGTTTTTGTTAATCATTAAATAATAAGTCTGGCAGTTGATCAAGTGCACCAAAGTGGCAAAGTTAAATATGGCCAGAATAAGCTTCACCTAACCTTTATGTTTTTTTAAAATAGTTTAAAAATACCTTTTGGTATGACAGCACGTACTGGGCGAACCTAAGGAAGCTACAGGTGATACTCGTTATTCGCTCACAATACAATACAGTAAAGATACTTTCGGTGTGCCACAGAGTTTTGATCAATTTTTCATGGTATGTTCCTGCAACCATGCACACCTGAGAACGTATAGGCTGTACCCTGTTGGCCATTTAGATCTACCTTTTGGTATGTTATGTAGCTATCAAGTCTTAAACATTTGCGCACCTGTTCCATCAGCAAGCTATTGTGTCTGGTTATGACCTTAGTTCCACTCTGTGGTTGTTCAGTCAGTGTGAGCTCTCCCCCTCTTGGCCAATGTGCTACTTAACAACTTCACCATGTTTAAACAAAGTGTATAGCTAGGTCACACACACACACACACACACACACACACACACACACACACACACACACTCACAAACCATTAATACGTAAAAGAGCTTGTGCAGTTAAATCAGGCCCGCCCAAAGCAAAAGTTGGGCCCCTGAAACTAAGGCCCAGTGAAAGGGCTCTTCCAGATCTGATTTGATTTATTAATGTATGCAAATTAGCACCAGCCTCCAGGCCTCTGCCTCTGCATTGGTGTGGTTAGCTTTGAAATACTCTGCCTACAAACAGTAGTTGGCATTATACATGCTACTCATATAGCCAGATGTATGATGCTGTGTATGAGTCCCAGGCTCGGCTGCTTCAGCTCTGCAGAGTCGGACTGCCTCCGTTTTTTTTTTGCCCTTCAGTGATGAGGTCGCTATAGAATCTCACATGTTGGTTCTTGTAGAGGTTGTCTCTGGCAGGACATCATCACAAGAATTTTATGTTTATATTTCAGGAATTTCATTATTAAGGTTCTCAATGAGGCTCTGTCATCTTTCCTTGGCCTGACGTGGTGAGCTCTTTCCACCACTATTGGACACAGCAGAGGATCCAGCTCGAGTACCTCCAGTATCCAATTCTCCAAAAACAATTAGGGGTCCGACCCCTCAGCTCCCTGTGGGAGGTTCACCAACCTCAAGTTGGATCTCGTCTTCATGTAAGTTAGTTTCTCTTCTCCTGTATGAATTTATTCTATGTAAAGTGTCCATCAGTGTATTAACTAATCCCATTCATACACATTCATACGCCACAAAAGAAGCAGCGGGAGCAATTTGGGGTTAAGTTTCTTGCTCAGGGATTTATCCGACATGCAGGAGCTGGAGATCAAACCCTCGACTTTCTGGTTGAGAGGCAACCAACTCTACAACTGTACCACAACCTTATCGTCTCGTAAACTCGGACCTCAGATTATTTATTGCCCTCAGTACTATTCTTTAACCTTTGTGAGCTCCTCTCCATTTTGCACTGCTGCCTCCATGCTAGCCTTCTGCTTCTTGACGTTCAACATGCTGTGTCCCTAAATATTTTAACTTCGATTGCTTCGGTGTTTTCCCTCTTTCTTTGCCTGTCTTGTCTTCCCAGTAGTTGGCATCTCTGCAACAAACATCATGAAAAACTTTTATTTTTTTCCAAATAGGGTCTGCCAAAATTTTCAGGATTTTTGTCAGGATTCCAATGGAGTAGGCTGAACGTGATTTTCACCTTGCGGACCGTTAGGATTACATTTTAACATTATTTTTAAAAGCCAATGAATCATATTACACAAGTATTCAAAGTATACTTTTGAGAAGTCAAAGTACAGAAACATGCATGTCTAATGCACTTCAAGGAAGGATTACAAATTTTCAAAAATAATACTTTGTGCATTTAAGGTACATTTGAATCAGAATAGTTTTTTATTGCCAAGTACATTTACACATACAAGGAATTTCACTTTTTGTTTTGGTGCAAAACATTTAGCAAAGAAATGCAATTAAATGCAATTTAGTGAACTTTTGTACCTGGGAAGAACCCCTGGCATCAGAACATATTAATTTCTCTATTCGTGGTGAGTTACAAAAAGCTTTGCTCTTAATGTCATAGTGTTTTTTTTTTTTTAGCTAAAATGCTTCAATCCTTTCTAAACGATTTAAATACAACATTAAATTGTGCCTCTGTAGCGCAGAATTATAATTGTGTGAATAACGTGAAAGTTGCCAAAAGGCTATATCTTTGATTGGTTAAGAGAATTAAATGCTTGAATAACACAATAAATATCTGATCTGAAACATGGAAATACAAACCCAATGTCATTAAGTATTTGAAAGAATTTCTAATTCTGACTGAATATAATGTCAATTTGTCAAGATGTTTGCTAGTATGTGATGCACTTAATTAAAGGCTACTATAGGTTTACAGTGAGTTTGAAAAGTTAAGAAAAGTTGGTAAACCTTTTGTATTTAATTATTAGTCTTTTTGAAGTAAACAAAGACCAATCTACATAAGGCGTATGCAGGCACTGTAAGACTTGGGATTCCTGCCAAAATGAAGATGATCAAATTTATCCATGAAGGGTACGGTACTGATGCCAGGGATGGAAACTGGTCCTGTAAAGCACAAAACATGTTAAGTGTGTTCATATGCACTCACTGTCCAACATTTGCAGAGGTAGAAAAAGAAGAACAACATATACATATGAATGTCTAGCATTCCATATTATTAGATAGGAATTCAAAATGATATGATAGCTGATCATGGAGCTTGTGTACTTACAGATTTTGGATCCCAGACTAAGTAGGTGAGCTCTTCTTGACTTTGGGTAACCAAATAGAAAACTAAAATAACCAGAACGACTAGAGGACTAGTGAATCTCCATGAAACCTGCCAGAAGATGGAGGGCTTGTATCCTATCATGAACTTCACGTCCTCATTGAACCTGCCACACAAGAGTGTTTTCATTAGAGTACATTTCATGTCTTGAGTAAAGTTTGAGTTTACCAAGATAATGTATCAGTGAATCTTTGTAGCAAATTGCCTTAGAAATTATTATCCAAGCTAAGATATCTATTTATGAAATTGGGTTATTTACTCATTAGAGAAGGTAAAAGAATGCTCTGTATTGCAAAAGACTCAGTTTATAGTTTGTGGCATGTTGATGGCATCAATGTGCAAAATATATTAGTATCACTGAGAACTCTTTCTATTACTCTGCGGTTAAAAAACACGTATTACAGTTTTTAAGAAAATCCAGTTTGAAAGGGTGATCCATAAACAGCAGAGATGTGGACTAAAGAACCAAAACAATATGTGTAAAGGCACTAAGAAGGTCCATGAAGCCTAGTGAAAAGTAGAATGATAACTGATGATCATGGCCATCCAATACTGGTTTACTACCTTGTCCCTTGTGTACATCGACTGATTGTGTACAGAGATTTCTTCAGATTTCTCTTTTTTTCTTTTTTATACTTTATTTTTCATTTTTGTTTTACAAGAAACACAGAACAAGTGAGGACTAGGGCAAGACAGTATGAATAAGATCAAATACAAGAATGTAAAAGGCACAGTACATAATGGATGGTACATTCTAATGAAAAAATATATATTTACGAGTCTTTATCTTTGTATAAATCCCATTTTCTCCAATATTCTTCTCCCTTCTCCTTTTGAAGTCGCAGGACAAAAGTCATTTTTTCCATAAAGCTGATGGAATTCACAATGTTCCTCTAGAGTCTCATGGTAGGAGGGTTCCTCTGAAGCCAACAATTAGTAATCACTTTTTTACTTGCCACCATAAGAATCTATAAAAGTTATGTGTCCTTTTTACCAAGACCTTCAGGAGATTCTCTGAATCTTTGATGATATTTTTAATTGTAGACAATGAAATCCACTGATTCCTTCCAATTTTACATTGAGAAACACTTTTCTTCAATCGTCGCACTATTTTCCCAATTCTGTCACTAAGTGGTGTATCATTTCCATTCTTACTTAGACTCTGGGTTGTTCGTTCTATACGCAATCATGTTACTAACCAGTTAACCTAATTAATCTTGAGCTAGGTGTTTTCTTTAAGCACTTCAAAACCTTTCCAGTCTTTTGTTGCCACTTTCCAAACTTTTTTAAAAGGTGTTGATGGCATAAATGGGCAGATGTTTTTTCCCAAGACATATCTAATATCTCAGTTTTAACATTTGATATGTTGTCTTTGTGTTTTTTTTTCTTTCAAATAAATATGAAATATATGTTTAAATGTTTAGAAAATCACCACATTATGTTCACTATTACACAAAAACAACAAGTGTTTTGGAAATGGGGTGTTTGTACAAATGATTATTTGCATCTGCTAAGATCAATCTTGAAATAGTCTGTTATATCATTCCATACAATGTTAGGAAAATACATGAGCTTTACGCACCTGTCAATGCCATAGATGTAAACAACAGCTATCATCTCAAAAAACCCAATGGTGAGAAGTGGAACAGATCCAGCAAAGTTGTCAAAGAGAGTTACCCAATAAATCCCTGAATGCTGCGCAAACAGGAGGGAGATGATGAAGGCTATAAAACATGTAACTCCTGAAACACACATGCACAAATACATGACCATTTATTTTGAAAATTGATTTACCCGGGGTTTTTATTTTCAATGTGTTGCTTGCTTTTAAAGAAAATACCTGTTATTGCTTCTTGGGGCCATTTTTTGGGCAACATTTTCAGATCTTTCAGTGGGACAACCACTCCCTCTATGTTGCCAAAAAGGGTTGAGATTCCCAAGCAAAAAAGCATGACGAAGAAGAGGACAGACCAGGCTGGGGAACCTGGCATCTCCATTATTGCTTCTGTGAACACAATGAAGGCCAGACCTGTTCCCTCCACTCCCTAAAAAACACAAACACTGGTTACAGTTAAGAGTCCAGGGCTGTTTTCACATTATGCCCTCCTGACAATATCAAGACAAATTCAGGAGGACTGAAATTCTCCTGACCTGACTGTCCACATAATGCACCTCACAGCAGGAGACAATCCCTGTCAGACGGGGGCGCGTGGCGTCTCCAGAGGAAAAACGTGATGTTATAAAAAATGACGCGTAAGTGGCAAACGAAGCAACTGCTATACCACACTATAGTTAGAATATGTGCCTTCATATCAATGCTATGTGTAGTTCAACGGAATCACAATGTCAACATAAGTGCGGAGAAGAACACACTGTACTGGCAAACAGAAAACATAATGCAGCCGTTTAATTACCTGCACAGGGATTGTAGCTGTCTCGTGCATACAGTCTGCACTGTGCACCTGTCACAGGATATAAACATCACCACCCTCTCCTATTCGCTCGAAGTGAATTCCCCGGATAATATCCTGCTGCGTTCTCACATCTGCTCACTCGGACATTCGGAAAAAATACATAGGGGGCCGCTGTCAGGAGAAACTCCGGGGTTAAGTCAGAGGGAATAAATCAGCTGTTTGCGGTCACACGTACAGCTCCGAGAGTTTTTAACATGACTTTTTCTGCAAGTGTGAAAGGCTTTAAAACAGACACAATGCAGATAAGCAGTGATCATTTGGGAATTAGAAAAGATATCAACATAGCCACCTCACTGAGAAGTTTCTGCATGTCACAGGGTTTGATGCCCAATCCAAAAACAATATCAGGATTGGAGCTGTTGAGATGGTGAAAAGCTGCCTCATAGTTGCTGGTGGTGATGCTGTCTTCAGGAAGGTCAAATGCATTTAGTAATGTCAGGATGTTACTGGGGAGATAACATGTCAGTAACACGTTTTAGGAAACACACATACCTCTGAAGAATTTGAAGTTACATTAGAAAATAAAGTAAACACTTTCATTTTAAATAATATTCTTATGAGGAGCATTATCATTTTTTTGCTGTTGGACCTAACATTTTATTTATTCTTCGGTTGCAGACCTTTCATCTGAAATCCCTTCAAAATGCAAAATACTGTTGAATATGACATGTTTTTTTTTTTGCTAAATATATCAAAACAGACATCCACTTACTCACTGATACAGCTGTCATAGTTCTCTGTGGCTCTGAAGCCAATGACTGTGTAGGTGACGACCGCAGAAAAGATTGACGTGAAGCCAGTTATGGCCGTCAGGATCATAGCATCCTGCATGCAGTTGTTACTTGGGAAAAGAGATGAAAAACAGAATTTAGACAAAGCCCAGTGCTGAGAATAGCATCATAGTTTTGGCATAGAGGTGTGCTGAACAACACTTTAAGTGCTACATGGTTATTAAACACAACAGGGTTTTTAAAATGATCTCTTACTGAATAGGGTTGTAACTTGAGAACGAGATGAGGCCTCCCCATGCTAAGCTGAAGGCGTAAAACACTTGGGCACCTGCATCCAGCCAAGTTGTTGGTTTCGTCAACTCATTGATCTGAAAAGAGTGAAGCAGACATTGTGATGTGTCTTTGCATATGAGATGAATTCATGGAATGGTTTATCCCGAAGAGTTTAAAACCACACATCTGGGGTGAAAAGGTATATTATTCCACTCAGGGCTCCTTTAAGAGTCAGTCCTCGGATCAGGAAGATGGTCAGCACTATGTAAGGCAGGATGGCTGTGACGTACACCGCCTGAGGTCGTGACAAGAAAAGGAAATCATTAAAATATAATGATGGTGATTCAATAATGCAAGTTTTGATTGACAGTTTGACAAACCTTGCCTGAGGTGCTGATCCCCCGTATGTAACAGATACAAATGACTGTCCAGGCAGCTAGCAGGCAGACTACGATGGGCCAGTGAATCCCACCAGATTCAGCTATAGAGGTCGAACTATTTAGAGTTACTCTGTAAAAGTAGTAATCCATGGTTGAGCTCCTCTGACATTCTGGTACAAAGCCTGTAGGGGCAATAAAACATTTTTCTGCAAATGTTTTCATCATGAATGAAGTTTGTGTTCACACGTTTCAGTGTGATCAATTTGAAATACCTGTCCCATTGTCATTGAGGGGGCACTGGGACCAGGGCAGCGGGTTTTGAAAGGAATTGAAGAGATACCACATGATCCAGGCTATTAAGGTGTTGTAGTACAGTCCAATCAATAACGACACCAGCATAGAACCTATTCCTGAGTAAAGCAGAATCATTAACTGATTTCCCACTCAAACGTATTAAAATATATTCTTCCATTTTCATATATTCATTACTTATAAAAAAACATGTTCTAGCCTTGTATACTTACCTATACCAGTTAAATAAGGGTTGATAGACCTCCAAACTCCCACGCTTCCTTTCCTGAGACGCTGGCCGATTGCAAACTCCAGCAACAGGAGAGGCATTCCCTCCAACACCAACAGGATCAAGTATAGAATAATAAATGCGCCTGAAAAATGTACAATTGGTGGAATTAATCAGCATCCCCCAACAAAAATAGAGCATGGATTATGAATATTATGTGTGTAGTTTGGGCTGTAATGTACTCCCTGCCTGTAAACAATGCCGTTTTTATTAACCCTGTGATGACAACCCCTACTGCTCGGCCTGCGCCTGCTGTGATTCCCTCCAGCTGATAGTCTATGTGCCTAAAGGGGTGCTTCGTTTGTTCTGAAATGTATGATCCTCTTTGTTTAAAGACTACATTTCTGCTAAACTTGAATCTTTCTGCTATCCATGCATCCCATTACCTTAAACAAAATGAAAAAATAATTGTAATAGTTTTAGTCTTCTTCCTACTCAAAGCACTTTTGCACCGCATTTTCCAAAAAATCACTGATTTGAACAAATTCAACTGTTGTTTAACACCAGTCTGAACTATGGGGTGTTAAATGCACAGTATTTTATTTTATTTTTATTTTTATTTTTATTTTTATTTTTATTTTTATTTTTATTTTATTTTTATTTTTTTTTTTATTTTTTTTTATTTAACCCGGAAAAGTCTCATCCAGTCTCACTCTTTAACAAGAGTGTCCTGGCCAAGACAGGCAGCAGCAAAATATACAGGGTTTCAGAAGGGCTTTCAAAAAGGGCAATACATCTACAGTCAGATATGCCTGCCTCCAGATCTTTAAGAATACTTTTAAAAACCTCCAAGAAAACCAGCCTCTGAGCAGCGCCATGGCCCAGCCCCGACATAAAAGTCTTTTTTGGCATTAAATTAAAAGCAAGACTTGTTTCTAAAATAACTTTTAACTTTTTTTTTCCAATTGCTGAATGTGAGGCTTAAAAAAGAGAGAATCGCCAATCTAAAATCCCAGCTATCTGTATCGAGATACAGACTCATCATATTTAACATTTTTGAAAACAAAATATAAAGGGTAGTCCTGGGTACAAAAACTTTTTTTTAACCAACATACAAGGAACACAGTTTGATCATAAGTTGTCTCTACTGTTTTCACTTGAGCTTACCTCCTCCATGACTTTGACACAAGTAAGGGAATCTCCAAACATTGCCGATCCCGATGCAGAAGCCCACACAAGTTAGGATGTACTGGGCTTTGTTGTCCCACTTGGGCCGGTCACCAGCCTCCTCCTCTGTTCTCTCTAGATCCTTATAGGAAGGGATCCTATTATCGAGTCCTGGGTTGGCAAGAACAAAACGCATGGTGCACCAAATATCTCACAGCTGTTACTTCATGAACTGAAGGGAGGGAAGTGTTGTACATGACTAGGTTAAATCAAATTTATGATCTTTTCCATTTCCTGGGGAATTCAGATTAAACATTAAACACAGTGACAGTAGGATGGTAGTTAAAACTGTCCAGTGATTACACTTTACTGTCCCCTGTATTTTTCCATCATTGAATTTAGTTAAATTAATTAAAATTATGTTAAAAAAATAGTGATCCTACAAATACATTTAACGACCCTAAAAAGTTTAGTTAAAAACTATGAAAGTAATAGCGAATAAATTGTCAAAACCACCACACATGTTAAGCTTGTTCGTGTATGTCTTTCTTGAAGACATGAACTTATCATGTGTTGGCTGCTTTTATAGCTTTTTTTTGGTGTTTTATTGACGTGTAAAAGTCTGGAAGCTCATAAAGTTCACAATATGGCCAAGAGGCAGAGTTCAGTTTGGTTAAAACATCATTTTTTGGTAGTTATTTGCATTTTTTGAACTTAATTTTAGGTCCACATGCAACCTAATTTTATCATGCATCATGTATTGAAACTACAGCCTCCTGATCATCCATCCCCAATTTCATTTGTTTATCCTCATAATGGCAAAATAGTTCAACCGAAAAATCTATTCTTCAGTAAATGGCAAACTACCACAGTATATCAATTGAACAATCATTCTTTGTTTGTATAACAATATGGCACAAGTACTTTGTTTTTATTTCAAATGTTATCTCAAGACACTTGACAAAAAGAGCAGGTCTACACTTTACTCTTTAATATATTATTTATAAAGGCCCTGCATAAATCCACAATGAGCACAGCATTTTGCAACATTTAGCAAAGTAACAGTGACAAGGAAAAACTTCATTTAAACATGCAGAAACCTCAAGAAATACCAGACTCATGTAGAACAGTCATTTAATAACGATAATAATTGCTTGACTTTATATACCGCCTTACAAGGACCCAACTATGTTTTACATTAGAAAACAAACAAAGACACCACAATTAACCAAGTCCATAACCTGAGTTGAACAGGTGGGTTTTAAAGAGTTTTTTGAAAATGTCATAGGATGTAGCATTGTGGGTATGTATCTTACTTCAAAATAAAATAAAGAAAAGGAAATACAGGCATGTTGCCTAACTCGCTAACAGAAAAACAGGAGAAAAGATTAATCAAAAGAAATGGCTCCTCTCCCCTACAACAGAATCAGGACAGAACAACATAAACAAAATCTCAACACACAAAGTTTCTCTCTTTCAAAACCAAACAAGACTATTTTTGGAGGTGAGAAGGGCAGGGTTCAGCTTCTGCAGCCCCCTCAGTCAACGCTTTACAATCACCTGCAGCACAGCACAGATATAGATGCACAACTGAAAAAAGAGCACAATGCCCCACAAAGGCTAACTGAATAATAAAACACACTTTATGTAGCCTACATAAACAGCATTCACTGTTATAAGTGTTTCTGAACATGGTGGTGCGTTTTGTGCGCTTACTAGGCAGGGAAACAGGAACAGTAAAGTGGATGGTGTGATGGTCAGACACAGCTAGGTCCAGGCACTGCAGATTGGGAGTGGGTTGTTTCTGCGGAGGACACCAAATCCAGTGTGTGACCTTTGATGTGGCTGTGACCTTGAACATGCTGTGTAATGTTCAAACAGTCCAGTGGTAAAAGGAATTCAGTTGAAAAATTGCTACTCTTGGAGTCCATGTAAATATTGAATTCACCTAGCAGGAGTGTAGGGAGGTGGAGCAACAAAGGTGAGTAGCACAGATAGTTCTGACATTAGGGAAGCAGAGGCTTTTGGGAAACGGTTGGGACCACTTGGAGGTGTGTTGACCCAGCAAGTTTGTTTGCAACCTACTCATTATGAAGTGAAACTTGGAAGTTCTTTAACCAGGATGTCTGCTTGATGAATCATGGTCAGCCCAACACCAAGACCCTTGAAGCAATGTTGTAATAGTTGACATTTGTGTTTACCTTTTCTATGGTTGCATTGATATAAGGTTTTCATTTATGTTCTTTTTGGTACAATATTTATACATTATTGTTCATAATTTTATTTAGTACAATTTATGATGCTTTTATTTTGAAGTTGCTTTCGAACCAACGTTAGCCTGCCTTGCAAGAATTAGATTCACAACAGCAAGTGTGGACAACAGTAAGCATGGGCTCTAATGTTCCGATTAAAGTTCATGATGCATGCTGTCTTGAAGCATGCAGAACTTTATGTTTGTGTGCCACTGTTTCTCACATGTCCAGTTCCTCTCGAGTCCGACTCGAGTCCAAGTCATATGACTCGAGTCCACAAATGCATCAAAGATTCCCGGGGCAGTCCCGGTTGCAGATACATATTTATACTTTCACAGGGTGTAGGTATTTTGCATATACATGAGTGATACATCGTCATTGGTTTCAGCTTGCCCTAGTGACTACGCCTTCTGCTAGTTTGCCTGGTGATTTATCTATGCACAAACAGAAACTCCTTTGTCAGGAGGGCACTGATTAAGGGTCATGCTGTACCCAGATCCTGAGGAGTGTTCCTGTTGGAGATACAGACCAAGGCCATGCAGAGAAACAGTTTCCAATTGCTAAATGACGCACGATCATCCTAATCTTTTAAGGTCAAACGAAGGCAACAGACAGATAGTATTTTTCCACTACTCGTCCAGACTTTCTTTCAACTCCAAAGCCATTTTTTTTGTATTTGGATAGAAAGCAACCGCAACACAAGGAAAGGTAGTTGCTGTTTGGGAAGTCCCACTTGACGGAATGGATTTCACTACTAATAGCGGGATTTGTTGTTGTATCATTTGAAACCAAGACATTTTCTGTACATTTTTTTAACATGATGTGTAGAAATAGGAAAAATAATGATTCAGAGAGAAAAAAGACTTCAACAGTAAATAAAAAAATAAAAAGGGGATTGCTGTAAACATTATTTTATCTTGTCTTTTAAACTAGAAAGGTTTCAAACAAATAAAACAATTCATATTATCAGGCTGGAGTGTTTTGAGAAATAAGTATCTAAATACAGCAGCATAAAAAAGCACAATACCAAAAATATTAAAACATAAGTACTGCATCAATCATGAAACAATTGAAACAGTATTGTGCTTTAATTTTTATTTGAATAAAAAAAATCCAAACAAGCCTGCTTTAACAGTTCAGTAGATGTGACTACTTTTTTCTCTGTAGATTATAAACCAGTCTACATAAAGCATATACAGGAACTACCAGACATGGTATTCCTGCAAGAAGAAAGATGATCGCATAGATCCATGCAGGGTATGACACCGATGCCAGTGATGGGAATTCATCCTGTGAATTAGAAAGCAATAGGATTAGTGCATTAAACTTATGTCAAAACTCTGCTGAAATGTGGCTAGTTTTAATATTAAGTTTCTTTCCCCACGTGGGAACATTTCCCACAGAGAGAAAATACATCAACATAGCTGATCACAGAGCTTGTGTACTTACAGAGTTGGGATCCCAGACTAAATAGGTGAGCTCCTTTTGGCCTTGTGTAACCAAGTAGAAAACTAAAATAACCAGAACAACAAGAGGACTGCTGATTCTCCATGAAAACTGCCAGAAGATGGAGGGCTTATAGCCAATCATGAACTCGATGTCATCGTTGAACCTGCCACACAATCAGTCATTTTTTATTAATTTTGGAATATGTCATGAAGTCATCATTCTAGTAGGGGACTTAAACATGTCTTATATTCATAATGGTGTGCTCAGTAGCAAACAAAACAGGTACAATATGTTTCTATAGTAGTTTGAATAAGCGCTAACCTGTCAATGCCGTAGACATAAACAACAGCTATCATCTCAAAGAGTCCAATAGTCAAAAGTGGAACAGATCCAGCAAAGTTGTCAAACAGAGTTACCCAATATATTCCTGAATGCTGTGCAAACAGGAGGGAGATGATGAAGGAGACAACACATGTTACCCCTGAAACAAACATGAACAACAAACAGAGTTTAAGTTTATTTTTTTAAAGACACCAAAGACAAATACTGAAGATATTTGATTGCAGACCAAATGAGTTCATTTAGTTGAGCTATAAAACCAAGTTACCTGTTAGTACTTCATGGGGCCACTTTTTAGGGAAAACGTTCAGATCTTTGAGTGGGACCACCACTCCTTCAATGTTGCCAAACAGTGTTGAGAGTCCCAAGCAGAAAAGCATTGAGAAAAAGAGGACAGACCAGATGGGAGAACCAGGCATCTTGGTGATGGCTTCTGTAAACACAATGAAGGCTAGGCCAGTTCCCTCTACTCCCTGTAGAAACACACAGAAGTCAGAATGCAGATAAGCAATAATAATTTGAAAATTAGATTTATATTCTTTAATGAAGTCACCTCACTAAGAAGTTTCTGTATGTCACAGGGTTTGATGTCCAATCCAAAAACAATATCAGGATTGGAGCTGTTAAGATGATGAAAAGCTGCCTCATAGTTGCTGGTAGTGATGCTGTCTTCAGGAAGCTCAAATGCATTTAGTAACATCATGATGTTACTAAGGAGAAAGTATGTTACTTATTAGTAAAACTGGATAACTGGAATTTACTCCAGAGTATAGGTTGGTATTTTTCAAGTAATTCTAACACATTGCTCACATCCTATCAATATTTGCAGGGAACCAATAATGAATAATTTAGCAGGGCCTGTGAAGAACCAAAGTATTCTGTAGATTAACCAAAAATATTTTTAAACTCTTGTTTTAAGTTCTCATTCAAACACTATTCAGAGTTTTTGCCCACTAAAGGCTACTTGTTCCTCAGCATGTGACCATTTTTTGTCAAACAAGCTGATGCATTAGTTTCAAATCACCTCAATTTTTTTTTACCATCATGTCCAAGTTCCTAAGCTTTCTGAGTAGCATATAAGACCTATCTCTGCACCTACTGGTGTGTTGGTCCTTCAGTGAGATGGGGTCAGGCACATTGGTCGAGAATTGATATCTTGAGGCAGCAGAAAGCAATTGCGCTAATGACGAACAAAAACCTCATCCAAAGTCACTGGTGCAGTGTTTTCCCCATGTATGGAGGCAATAGTCCTCCAAGCGGGCGGCCCATGTTCGAATCCAACCTGTGGCTCCTTTCCTGCATGTCAATCCCCACCCTTTCTCTCCTGATTTTAATCTCTATCCACTGTCTTATCTCTCCAATAATGGCATAAAAAGTAAAAAGTCTTAAAAGGTTCATTGTTTAGATTTTAAGACCAGTTGACAAAATACTTTCTCTCTGCCTGTCAGGCACCTATGCCAAGTAGCTTTTCCTCATTGAAATATCGTTGCATCTTCTGGACAACAGTCAAATAGAATTCACACTTACTCATTGATACAGCTGTCATATTTCTCTGTGGCCCTGAAGCCAATGATGGTGTAGTGACTGTGGCAGCATAGATTGAAGTGAGGCCAGTTACAACCGTAAGGATTACAGCATCTCGCAAACAGTTGTTGCTTGGAAAAAAAGAAGAAAGACATAAGTTGAGCTTGAGTCTGGAAACTACTGTTTCTATTTAATGCTGAGAAGATTCAGACTTAGACTACAAATTATCTCTTACTGTACAGGGTTGTAGCTTGAAAAAGAGATAAGGCCTCCCCAGGCAAGACCAAAGGAATAAAAGACCTGGGCACCCGCATCCATCCAAGTTGTTGGTTTAATCAACTCTTGCACCTGCAAAGGTGCAAAATACATTGTGAGGTTACATTTGTAAAGAGAAAGAGAACCATTATTTTAAGAGCATATTTGAATGATTTGAAAAATACATCAGGTATGAAGAGGAACTTTAGTCCACTCAAGGCTCCTTTGAGTGTCAGTCCTCGGATCAGGAAGATGGCCAGCACGATGTAAGGCAGGATGGCTGTGACGTACACTGCCTGATGCCATGACAAGAAAAAGAAAGATAATTCATAATTATCAGATTAAAGGTTTCAGTAGTGTAGTTCTTTGCATGTTAAAGCAGAGTGCATGAGTACATTCACTTATTTCTGGAAGCTGATTTTGGGGTGTCAGGGAACACTGGTGACTCTGGCCTGCTCTATTTGACTTTGCTTGGTCAACACTTGAGATCTATGACCAAAACTTGTCAGTATGTTACTTTTATAAAGAACACTAGTATTTATCCTGAAACATACTCTACAGCTTCAACCCATTTCTTTTTAATTAAGAAGGAATCAAAAATTTGAAAATTTAGAAAAACACATCTTTGGAACCTGTGTGTTGCCTGTTAATGGGTGTAGACTATGAAGCCAAACAGGCTTATGAAAGGACAAAATAATCATGTGGTCTTTGTATAACTTGTCCTTTTCCTTTTTTTTTATAAAACTATGGCTTACTAAATCTATGAGAACATTTTGTTTTCTGATATCCATTAAAAAACTAGTTGAAAAACTTTGATCACAATGTACAGTACAAATCTGTGAGAAGAAGATCTACCGCAAAATGGTGGATTTTAATCCGTATGCATAAATTTGTAAACCATGGGAATACATTTCTAAACTGCTTTTTATTTTTTCTTACCTGCAGTTTTTGGGGACTCTGTTCTAAATAGCACATTAAGTGCATATTTAAAGTGTTGTCACAAGGTTCTTGTTTCAACCAGAAGGTTGGGGGTTTGATCCCTAGCTTCTACAGTCACATGTCCAAGTGTCCTTGGGCAAGACACTGAACCCCAAATTGTTCCTGCTGACAAATTTCAAGTAGTCTAGTGAATCTGCCCCTGTTATCAAAGCTTCTGTTCTTTGTGAGAACAGAGGGGTAGGGAGTAGACGCAGTAACAATGGAAGGCACTTCTTAGCAAATGGTCATTGACTGAAGGGACAAACCTTGCCTGAAGTGCCGATGCCCCTTATGCAACAGACAGCGATGACTGACCAGGCAGCTAGCAAGCAGACTACTATGGGCCAGTGGATTCCTCCAGAATCAGCTATAGAGACTGAGCTATTCAGAGTCACCCTATAAAAGTAGTAATCCACTGTGGAACTCTGATGACATTCTTGTACGAAACCTGCAGAGGCAAGAAATATACACAAATTAAAATGCAATATGGGTGCTATGGTATATTTATGTACCAGTGTCTAAAACAATACCTGTCCCATTGTCATTGAGGGGGCACTGGGTCCAAGGCAACGGGCTTTGAAAGGAATTAAAGAGATACCACATGATCCAGGCTATTAAGGTGTTGTAGTACAGTCCAATCAAAAATGACACCAACATGGAGCCTACACCTGTGAGACATCACATTCACAAATGCTTAGATAATCCGTATATACTATACGTGTTGCTGAGGTTCATGTAGCTTCATTCTTTTTTCTTTTTCATTTTTTACCCCAGAGGTAAGTTTGCTTACCGATGCCAGTCAAATAGGGGCTAATAGCCCTCCAAACTCCAACGCTGCCTTTCCTGAGACGCTGGCCGATGGCAAACTCCAGCAGCAGGAGAGGCATTCCTTCAAGCACCAGCAGGATCAAGTAGGGAACCAAAAATGCACCTAGAAAAAGGTATATGATAAGACATGAAATTACAAAAATGTTACCACTTTACACTAAGAATTCTGGGGGAAAGTAAGATATTATATATGACATTTTTACGCATGCTTTGATATTTTGGGTTTTATTCATGCTGTTATTATGACTTGGTTTAACTATTTTCCATGTTTAGATTTTTGCTATGATTTATTATTACTTTTGGTTTCATTGCATGCTTTCAGAATTTACTTCCTGTCTTGACGTGACTGATGGTGATAGATTACCTGCACATGTGTAGCCCTGCTCCTGATGGACAGTCTTTACGCTCATTCTGGGGCAAGTACGTCGCCATTGTCTAATCAGCTCTCCCCTTAGCCATCCAATTGGCGGCTAAGGGTCGTAAGGTCTTTTACCTGCTCTTTTGTCACACAATATATTAAAGAGTAAGGTCTTTTACCTGTTCTTTTGTATAGTGTATAGAAACAACATTTTTTATGAATTGGCACTGTACAAATAAAGATTGATTGGTTGATGATTGATGATGTTATTTTGTAAACCACTGTTTTTGCATTGGGGCTGATACGACACAGTGTAAACTGTATTGGTTGGAACCCTTAGTTATTCAGTCACATAAACAGCTGATCCAAGGACATCACCTTTATGTAAAGACAAAGGTCAGCTTTTACTTGAGAGGACCCCTTACTCTCAACATCTAGTGTTATTAATCATTCTCTAGAGTCTAGGGAATGATTTATGACACTTGATGTTGATTTGACAAAACTGTCTTGTGAATGAGTGGTACATTACAGTGTAAGCCTAAGGCAAAAAGTATCAGTCATTTTGTTAAAAATGAAATTGTCAGCTAAACAGTTGAATTATTTGGCAGTATTTGGTCGTAATTCTGTACCGTAAAACCTTCAGAGAAAAGAATAGAAAGCATAAAATTCCATTTGTATGCATTAAATTACGATTAAATTAACAACTGTGTACCTCAACCACACAAAAATCTATGAAATATACAACCACTTAACCACAGATGTCTGTTACCCTATTTATTTTGTTTCATAAATCTTACCCCCTCCATGACTCTGACACAAATAGGGGAACCGCCAAACGTTCCCAAGTCCGATGCAGAAGCCCACACAGGTTAGGATGTACTGGGCTTTGTTGTCCCACTTGGGCCTGTCGCCGGACTCCTCCTTCTCCATCCTCTCCAGATCTTCATAGTTTGGGATCCGGAGATCCGGTCCTGGGTTTGGAAGTACTGCTCTCATGGCAACCATATGTGCACTGAGGCAGTGAAATGGTGTTTACTACAGTTAAAGCAAAGGGGAAGTTTATGGATGTACACATGTGAGCACTCAGCAATATTAAAGCATGTTTATGATGTTTAACCTGCAGTCTACAGATTAGCCATAGCACCCTATGTACCTTTGTATCTAAATGCTCAATTATATGACACCAGCCATGACTGGCCTGCAGAATTGGTTTAAAAAGTGTTTCATTTTATAGGGGCTAGCTCAGTATAAATATATGTCAGTGTTCAGATCTGACAACAGGCAAGTGTTGTCTAGCAAAATTATTAAAATTGCAGAAACCTAATTTGTCATTGGTTATTGGTCATTAGCATAATATAATTTTCCTAATATTAACCATTTCGTTCTGCTCAAAAATCTGACTTGTGAGATAATTATTAACAGGGCATAAGTGCAGTGCAGGTACATTATTGTAATGTACAAAAGAACTTCAGACAGATTTGGTTGCTTTGGAAGATATATATTCTTTTAATTTCATGATAATTGAATGCCTTTATATACAGTAATGAATACCATTCAAAAAATCCTGTTACTACAGCAGTAATTTATATGTTTACAGCTTGATTCAAAAAACGAAATTGGTCTGATTAGCTTATGTCTTGATCGGCGAAAATGTAACATTTCTTGATAATTAATCTGTTTTGATTTGATTATGGATAGGCATTATTCACAATAAGGAAAATAGCTGATCTGATTGATGGGCATGCTCTTGCTTTTGTCAGGAGGCTTAAGGGGCAGCTGTGGCTCAGTTGGTAGAGTTGGTCGTCTTTTTGTCGATCCCCATCCACATATCTGATTAGTCCTTGGGCAAGACACTTAACTATGGAAGCGATTAGTGAACAAAATTCAAATGATAAAGCTAATTTGAAAATTCAAATGCATTTACAGAAATGCTTTTTAATTTTCAGAATATGAGTGTGTTATTTGACTTTAAAATAAAATGATGATTCATTTATCTAATTTGAATTTTAGTTTTCAACTTCAAAAATGCACATTCTTTGACTAAATTAAAATGAAGAAAATTACATTTGCTTTATCATTTTCAAAAAATGCCCCGTTAAATTTGTATCATAATTCAAATGAAAAAGCTAATTTTAAAATGAAAATACAGTAACAGAAACACTTTTTAATTTTCAGAACATAGAAGCATTATTTGACCTATATTTAAAATTAATATTCAGTCATCCAGTTTGCATTATACTTTAACTCTTTATGTATGCATATTGTATGACATCATTCAAAAGGTCTTTGGCTTTTCGTTTTCAAACTTTCCGTGCTAAAAAGTGATCATAATTCAAACCAACTCGAAAATGAAATGGCAAAGTGGACAGCGCAGGAACGTGACGTCAGACTCCAGCTCCCAGGCAGGCGAGCGTAATATTTACAGTCTATGAGGCGAGCGGGTAGAACGCGCACTACGATGGGTGGCGGGGTGAATCTTTAACACTATAGGGCAGACTTTAGTTCACACTGTGATGCAGGTGGCGATCAGAGTGGTTTTTTCAGTGCACACTGAACTTTCAGCAAGCATGACGCAGCACCTTTATAACCCGAGCTGCCAAGTCTCACACGTGACACCATGCCCACTATCTCTGACCCTGAGAGTCACTCAGCATCTGCACGCCGTGAAATTCACACAGACGTGTCCTAAAACCGGTTTATTGATAGATTATAGATCACTCTCTTCTCTGCTTAACTTAGTTACATTAAATCGATTATCGATTGAATTTTCTGTTTCAAATAATCTCTCCAGCTCTGTACACAAAGTGTCTCTCATCCTCTGTGCGTAATGGCACACACTCTCCCTCTCGACCGACTGTATGAGCTCTCTCTCCCTTTCAGAGATTGTTTTGTTGTTATTAAAAGAATAATCAAATACAACGCCAAAATTGAATCAAAATCAGGGCAACAACTAGTTTGGAGCTTGTACCAGCGTTAAAGATTCACCCCGCCACCCATTGTACTGCGCGTTCTGCCCGCTCGCCTCATAGACTGTAAATATTACGCTCGCCTGCCTGGGAGCTGGAGTCTGACGTCACTTTCCTGCGGCGTCCACTCTGCCATTTCGTTTTCGAGTTGGTTTGAATTATGATCACTTTTTAGCACGGCAAGTTTGAAAACGAAAAGCCAAAGACCTTTTAGTTTTCATTTGAATTATGTCCTACAATATGCATACATAAAGAGTTAAAGTATAACGCAAACTGGATGACTGAATATTAATTTTAAATATAGGTCAAATAATGCTTCTATATTCTGAAAATTAAAAAGTGTTTCTGTTACTGTATTTTCATTTTAAAATTAGCTTTTTCATTTGAATTATGATACAGATTTAGCGGGGCATTTTTTGAAAATGACAAAGCGAATGTCATTTTCTTCCTCATTTTAATTTAGTCAAAGAATGTGCATTTTTGAAGTTGAAAACTAAAATTCAAATTAGATAAATGAATCATCATTTTATTTTAGAGTCAAATAACACACTCATATTCTGAAAATTAAAAAGCATTTCTGTTAATGCATTTGAATTTTCAAATTAGCTTTATCATTTGAATTTTGATTTTTTTTATTTTGAAGTTGCTGCAGCTGCTTCATTGGCAGCGTATGAATATGTGTATATGGGATTATTTACTTCTGATGGTAACTTTACATAGACCTCTGCCGTCAGTGTGTGAATGGGTGTGAATGGATGGGTGTGACCTGCAGTGTAAAAGCACTTTGAATTTTCAGAAGACAAGAAAAACACTATACCAGCTCAAGTCCTTTTATCAAGTTCATCTAAGACCCGCCTTAGCTCTAGCACTAAGCCTGGAGACCCCCATTGACAGGCTTCCAAAGCCCCCTTTAGTAACAGATGGGTGACATCACTCAGGTTTAATAATAATTTAATTATATTTACAATCTTTGGTTTTCAGTCTCTGTGCTAAGTTAAGCTGTTGTTGGCTCTAGCCTGAAACAAGTGCCAATCTTCTATTCAGGGCAAAAAAGAAAAAATAACTGTTCTTTAAGATACAACATACACTTATATAAGAAATATGACACAGCAGTATCTGAATATTACAATAATAAAGAAAAGAAAAAGAAAAATACTGTCTTCTCCAAAACATTAATTAAAAAAATTAAATTACAGTAAATAATAGAAAATGTATTTCTACATACAAGAACATTATTCCAAATTTAGTCAATTCAAAGTCAATAGTCTCTATAATGGGTATTAGGGGGAAAAAAGCCATAATGTGGCAATTATGGATTTACAACATACCGAAAAATTCATTTTGTTATTAAATATTCATTGGAAAAGGACTCTAAAACTTAATTTTGTCACTCATTTGTATTTTGGCAGAGATGGTTTCCAATTTGTCATCATAGTCGTTCTTCTTGCAGCATTTTTGCTGGATGAATTTGTAGGCGGCAAACACTGGGATGGCTAAACTTGGAATTCCAGCCAGGATGAAAATTATGACGTTGATCCAGGAGGGAAATGGTCGTGCTTCGAGAGTGGGGAAGTCCACCTATTATCAAAATTAAGAAAAATTGTACTATTTACTGTATTGTACTACTGTAACAATGGGTTTTATTGTATATTGTCACTAATACTGTAGCACCACCACGAGTAATGCAAGTATTATTAGAGTTTCTAAATAGTTCTTTAGACAATACTATTGTGATGAACACACTTACCGCCTCCTGGTCCCAAACCAAATAGGTAATGTTCTTGCTGACTTGGGTTACAAAGTAGAAAATCAAGATGACGACCATAATGAGAGGACTGACAACCCTCCATGTCACCTGCCAGAAGATATTGGGCTTATGACCAATCATAAACTCAATGTCCTCATTAAACCTGTGTGGAAGCAATAAAAGGAAGAAATGATATCAGCTGAGTGTGCCTGAGAGCTTCCACGAAAGATGCCCTTGCACTTTTATTAGATACAGTTAATAATGAAGCCTGTTTGGCATTTTTGTTTGATCAACATGTTGATGATGCACTGGACTTCAAGGAAATAAAACACCTCTCTGTTACTTAAGTCTAATACCTTATATTAAAAACATGCACCTTGATAACATAACAGCTGTCAGAATGCAATATTTCTCATATTTTATAGCTAATAAGTAACAGTTCTTTCATCATCAAAATTACACATTTTCCACATCAATATAATCTTGCTGCATCAACATGCCAACATGCTGATTGGCTCTCACTTACAACCAATGCATGAATGTTAAACTTGAGGAATTCTATTGTTCTACCATGTAGTTTAGCATGCTAGCATATTAACAGTTGTTTATTAGCATAAAATACAAGTTGTTAACAGGGCTAATAGCCTTAACTCTTAGACACTGTACTAATAATGACTTACCTATCCACCCCATAGATGTAGATAACAGAAATCATTTCACAAAGTCCAATGACCAGAAGGGGAATTGAGCCAGCAAAGCTGTCAAAAAGAGCTAGCCAATAGTTTCCAGAGCGCAGGGAAAATATGAGACCAAAAGCACACGATATTAAGCAAGTTAGACCTGAAAAAAAGAAGAGAAAAAGTAGTGACACTAATTTCTCTACGTCTAAGAGACAATATTTTATGTCAAACGGGAAAGTCAATTACCGCAGAAAACTTCTTTAGGCCAAGATCGGGGCAGCAATCTGAGGTCCTGCAAAGGAACCACAACTCCCTCGATGTTGCCAAACATAGTGGAGAGACCGAGACAGAAAAGCATGACAAAGAAGAGGACAGCCCAGAGCGGAGATACTGGCATCTTGATGATGGCTTCTGTAAACACGATGAAAGCCAGACCTGTTCCCTCAACTCCCTGGATGGATTACAAATCAATTATTTTAACCATGAACTCCATTGTCAAGCCATTGTCCATTGTCATTGTGATTGCCAAAGTTGTCTGTAACAATAATACTAGTGATTTTTTTTTACCAAAGATGTCTAAGGATTAACATAAATGATAAAACGACTAAATGCTT